GTTATGAATGAATTGGACAAACATGATAATTTTATTCAATATCATTATATATTTAATAAAATTGCTAATTTTTAAATAAATAAAAAATGAAATAGATTATTTTTTTGTGTTTACGCCATCTAGCGTAATTTATACCTACCACCTGGAGAGTCCATCGGTTTGGGTTCGATAAAATAATTAAAACTATAGAAAGATGTAGAAGGCGATATTTATTATGAAGCAATTTTACTGGAAAGAAAATATTATTTTGATTTCGTACACTAAAGTTTAGGCTTCACATGTCTAAAAATAAGAATTGTAACATTTATTTGGTTGAAAATTATATTAAATAATATTATACATTATATTAAATCTGAAAAACAAAAAATGCCGTTCATACCTTATAATAAGGTAATGGTGGTTAAAAATCCGATAATTTCCAGAATATTACCTCTATACTACATCTACATGCGACCTCAATAATCTTTCAGCACCTAATTAGCACTTAATTTTTAGGCACTGATAACATCGATCACTAATATTTTTATTAGTGATCGATGACTGATAAAGAACAAAAAATACCGTTCATACATTATGGCATAGTATAAATATGAATTCCTACTATATACCTATTTACTGTGATTATGGTAAGGTAATGGTGGTCGTGGACCCTATAATTCCCAGAATAATATCTTAATCTGTATCGGGTCTCGATAATCGCTCAGCACTTAATTAGTACTTAATTCCTTGCTATTAATATTTATCGTATATCTAGTAACGTAATTGCGTTGCTAGCTTGCTTGCGAGACGTTATGCCAGCAACGCAAATTTCAATTGTTCGTTGCGGTGAAAATTTTGGTGCAACTAATTTTTAAACTTGGTACCTAATTAGCACCTAAAAAGCCCCTAATTTGGACTTTTCTGAAAGCAATTTTGATTCTATTTTGATTTTCAGGAAATCTGAATTTTGCATCTGCTATGTTCTGAATAACGACTTTATTTTTATTAGGGGCGCCTTGTGATTGCGTATACTTGCAGCACCTAATTAGCACTTAATTCCTTGCTATTAATATTTATCGTATATCTAATAACTTCATTGTGTTGCTAGCGAGACGTTTTGCCAGCAACGCAAATTTCAATGGTTCGTTGCGGTGAAAATTTTAGAGCACCTAATTTTTAAACTTGGCACCTAATTAGCACCTAAAAAGCCCCTAATTTTGGATTTTTCCAAATGCAAATTCCCGACTTTGCGTTGCTGGCGAGACACAACTCATAATATGGTCATATGACGATATCATTATTGTTTTTCACCGCTAGCGGCGCTGATAGCTTATTTTTAACAGAAACAGAACTTTTAAGACAATTGACATCACTTTATCCCTTATTGATATAATAAATAAATGTTCGTTTCTATTGCTGATATTACTAGATGATATAGTTTTGGCTTTCATTATTTCATGTAATATTAGCGCCACCTACTTACTTCTAAATAAATTAAAATGGCAAGACATTTATAAAATGAAACAATACAATGCTACTGAATATACGATGTAAATAATTGAATCATTTACATTACGTTCATCCCGCGTTGGAATCAGTGTAGTGAACTTTTTTTTGGCCAAAAACTCTACAGCCTGTGCCCAGTAGTAGCATGTAGCTGCTTTTTTACTTTTCATGGGGTAATATATGCAATATATGCAGTTTTTATTTCATTCGTGTTTTCACTCTACCGTAAATATTAAGGCTTGCAAAGATGAGTAGAACTCAGTCAGCCTATCAAAAGTCCACTGAAATGAACATAGGCCTCCCCCATAAATTGTCAAGTAGCTGGATATTTGCTATAGTGGCGGGTTGGCAACCGCAGCTATTATTATTTTGATCTGTTGTCAAGAAGATGATGCAGATCATACCATCTACTATTTTTTTCCTATGTCGCTTCTTACGACGGGACGATATGATGTGTTGGATTTTCTTTCATCGCCACAACAGTCCGAACATTTTTCTATTCCCGTTCATGAGTGTAGTGTTCCTCACGTTCACTGTGTATAAAATTTATAAGGAATAAAAGTAATTTTAAGGATTTTATCGCGTTTAATTTTAACTTTTTAAATTCCCGATGGTTTGGGCAATTTACAGCACCCATGGTCAGGGGAGGGGTGGGAGAACTGAGGTGTTTGACGACCTGATGTCATAGTAAAAATAGAAGGTTAAAATGCAGTAGTAGTTTGAATTTAATTTTATTAATCATGGAGTCCTTAGCAGATAGTAGCACTCAGCCATCTTGCCTATTAAAATTACGATATTTTTAATTTCAATAGCCTCGCGAATCATGATTGGTAGGATTCGGTGTTCTATTGCAAGGATTTGTTGTATATAATGGTTGGGACGATACTAAACATGTTTACATACTTTAGACTTCCCGGAGCTTCGGTGCTTTCATACGGTGAGGAGTCAAGATGCGTAAAAAACCCGTAACATTAGTTTTAATCCATGTGTGGTATTCATTATTATAGAACTGTATTTATGAAATTTTCAAGTCTACTCGAATTAAATAAAAATATCTATATCTTTTTATGGTGCCAATCAATATTAAATAGGACCAATGATATGAATACGAGTAAAATGTCTCAAATAAATATTATATTACTTTGTTAAAACTAAATTTACTTTAACTATGAATATTTATGTAAAGAGTAAAATTTAAATAATAATAATACATTTTGATTTCAAGACTATTTACCTTTCTTATGGATACATCGGAATCGGAAGACACGCCATATATAAAAAATAGTAGGAGTTTCTTGACATATTATAAGTATATTCACGTGTTTGTGTAGCATGTTACCAATCATCTACGTCTACTATCATCATCATTACAGCTCTTCACAAGTCTACTGCTGAACACAGGCCTCCCCCAAGTAATGCCACAAAGCACAGTCCTGAGCCTTCTGCATCCAACGACTTCCTTACCAGGTCGTCACTCCATTTAGTGGGTGGCCGCCTCTACACTTTACCTACCGGTACGAGGCTGCCACACGAGAACTTTAATAATCAAGATTCCAATATATTACACATTAGGTACTCGTATCGAGATTACATTTCACATTTCAAAAATAAATATAGGTGACTAATATGACTGGCGGATGGTGGACTGTGTGCTCATTTGTCACCCTTATCCTATGAAAAAATCACAACCTCGCTTTTTTACACAGGAATATTGACCCAAAGTTACTTCTGCACGGCTTCGGCGCTGCGGGAAGTGCAACCCCTTCGCTCTTGCGTAGCAAATCGTAGGCATCCATGCTCACCTCCGCAGCTTTGGTTAATTGGCCTCAGTCTACAGCTCGCACAGGTGATTTCGATTTGCTACGACGGGCGAGGGCTACTCTCCCTCCACGCCTACGGCTTTACAAGAACTCTCTAGGGGTAGGGCAGACAAGACTACGTAGAGTTGGGGCATGCTTGTATATCATATCTTTAAAGTCAAGTTGCTCTGAACTCTGTTATGAATGAAACAAAGTAACCCACCCCACCCTTCTCTTAGCCCACCAACGCCTTCCGCCCGGAAGAGAGTTCTGACGGGCGTCGCTTTGTACTTATGAGCTACCAAGGAGAGCTTATATATATAATTCGTTACTACACCTTATCAGTTCACGTTTTCGTAGCCAGCTCTCCGACTATAATGTTAATTATTATAATTTTGTTTTCTGAGAAAACTCTCTCTCCACTACGACTCAATTTGTTGTGTATGAGTCCTATCTCCAGCCACAAATAAATTGTCTGGCTCCAAGTGATTAAATTCTTATGGGTGTACCCTGTGTTAAAAAAAACAAATTGACATATTTGCGTTTCGTTATATACAATTTTTGGTGAAATTTATTTTTATCTTAATTAATTTAAAACCCGTTTTTCTTAAATCCAAAAACAGTGTAAAAGGTTCCAGCTTAACCCTGACAAACCTCCTAAACTGAAAACATAATTAAAATCAAGCACCGGACGTCTTCTTCATAATACTAGACCAAATTGACACATTTACGTTTCGTTATATGCAATTTTTAGTGAAATTTATTTTTATCATAATTCAAATCATAAAGGCAAAAGGTTCGAGCTTAACCCTCCTAAAGTGAAAACAATTAATATCAAGTACCGTACGTCTATAGCCAACCCGCTTAATTTTGTTTAGTTTATTATAACTGATTTCAGCAGCTAAGCTAGAGGGCTGCATTATGTGTAACTTATTCATAAAAATTGCAATAAAAAATGTATAGCTCAGGCAAGATTAACAAGCTTGAGACCGGCATTTAAAGAATATGTGTGAAATATTTCTAGCTATGTTTGGAACCTGTATAACTATTTTGAATAAACACGGCTCTAAAATATTAACATTTTACTGACGAACAATGAGAAAATCCGTATAAATTTTAAGCACCGTCCCCCGTACGCCATGTCTTTCTAACTTGTCTACAAGAATATTAGGGATCGAGAGAGTGTCAAATGCTTTGGCAAGATCAATAAAAACTCCAACACACTTTTGTTTGTTATCGAGACCTTCTGTAACATATTCTACCAAAGAACTGACGGATCCATCTGCATCACCACTTACCATCAAGTGGGATAGTGGTCAAGGACTGACTTTGAATAGTTTAATAAAGAAATCTTTGAACAGTTTAATAAAAGAAACGGTTTGAATAAAACAAGCTGTATATAAAATCTGAAATTTTATTATCAAAATCAATGTAAACAAACTAGTTTTTTCTTCAAAACAGTTCATTAAATATACTGTAGCATAGAATTCTCTACTGTGTTTTTATTCTTCTATCTGAAATTTAAAAATATTAGTGTTTCAAAACACCAACAAGACGCTTTGTTCATGAGCTGTGATGATCATCAGATTATCCAGACGGCCGGTTATCACAATAATATTCATCAATAAATAAAATCTTATATTTTTTTTTCTACTAGGAATGCATTAACAGTTTGGCCCTATAACTGAAATAAGAATAACGTATATTTTAAAAGATCTACGCTTCATTTAAACTTACCTTAGCAACATTTGTTTCTTTAGTTTCTTTCAGGTTTTCTTGAAACATCTGATTTTTCTTTTGATATTGTGCTACGGACATTGCCGGTCTTTTCTTCGCAAATTCTATACTCCGGATAGAATTTTCGAACTGCTGTTCAATTCGGTCTAATGTTTTAACATAATCGGAGGAAACTTTGCGCACTAGTTTTTTGCCATGTTGGATATTCATCACCTGGTCAAAGGACGGTGTTTCCATTTTTAAGGATGGTCGACGGAGTTTACCTCGTGTGCTTTCATTGCTTCTGTGTCCAAAATTAGTTGAGAATGTTAGCAATATGTTCCTTTGCCTCATTTCAGACATCGGTCTACAAAAAGTAAATAATTATTATGCAGTTATAAAAAACTAACTTAAGGCTTGTCAAGCTATGGTCGGACGTACAAATCATGTTTAAAGCAGATTTTTGATCTTCAATTTAGAATTCTTAAAAATATTGTATCCCCAAATATGCGTGTTCTTATCATCAATTATAATGGTGAAAATGCGATTTTGAAACATTATAAAATCTTACCAGTTTATGACCAAATTAAATTCATGTTATCAAAACAATATTTCTTTTGCGATAATATAAAGTCATTACGAATCGTATCGCACGCATACTACTTCCAGCCTCTCGAACAAGCCGCTTTGCGAAAAGGCTTTAACACCATAAGACCACATACATACCATTCGGCAAATTGTACAGAAGACCGAAGAGTACAATCTGCCACTTTGTCTTGCGTATGTGGACCATGAAAAAGCCTTTGATTCCGTCGAAATTTGGGCAGTGCTGCCGTCCCTTCAGCGGGCCAAGTTGACTGTCGGTATATCGAAGTGCTGAAGTATTTGTACAGTAGGGCTACGATGGCTATCCGATTACAGAACCAGAGTACAAAACCTATATATCTAACCTATAAACCTACGGTGACGTAGTATACCCAAAACTCTTCACCGCTGTATTTAAAGACGTTTTCAAGCTACTGGATTGGAAAGGATACAGTATTAACGTCGATGACGAGTACATCACTCACCTTCGATTAGCCGAGGATATAGTCCTTATGGCAGAATCGCTGGAGGAACTAAGCACTATACTCAAAGACCTCAACAGTGTCTCCCAACGGCCTATCCATTAATGTTGCCTTTTGTTTTGTCCGTCTTCAGCTTAAGATGAACATGGACAAAACAAAAGTCATGTGTAACGTCCATGTCCCACCTATGCCGGTAGTTCTTGGGAGCACTAAGCTCGAAGTTGTTGAGGAATATATTTACCGACTAGGTAAGTCCAACTTCGACCGAGAGATCAATCGACGGATTCAACTCGGCTGGGCAGCGTTCGGCAGATTACGACACATCTCGTCAGGCATACCTCAAAACCTCAAAACAAGATTGTTCAACCAGTGCGTGTTTCCAGTAACGACCTATGGATCTGAGACGTTGTCCTTCACTGCTGGCCATATGAAGAAGGTCATGGTCGCTGAGCTATCTATGAAGAGGGCTATGCGCAGAGAACCAGAGTAACCAACATAGCCCAACAGACTAGTAAGCTTAAGTGGTAATGGGCCGGCCACACAGCTCGAAGAACCGACAACCGTTGGGGAAGAAAGCTTCTTATTTCATATTCTCTCACTTCTTTGTAATATTCTTTTTAATCCTTTCTATCCTTCTTACCTAAAAATCGGTTTGAATTCCTCAATGAATCACATTTGAGACATTTGAGATCATCAGAAAATTTGATATTAAAAATGCCAGCCCACACTACCAAATTTTTGAACAGATCGTTCACAATACAAGCTGTTCGATTATGGAATGACATGCCGTTATCAGCAAGACGCGCTCAATCCCTACCGGTTTTTAAGAAACATGTACATGATTACTTTTTTCAACTTTGATTCTATCTAGTTCATTTGTATATAATTATTCTCCTTTATTTAGTTACAATATTTGTTTATATGTATGGCACTTTTATGTTATATGTAATAGTTTTAAAGTATATATTTGTACTTTTATATATTTATATCTTGCCGTGTAGTGGCGGTTAAGAATATCCACTACCCCATATCTTCCCGTGGGTGTCGTAAAAGGCGACAAAGGGAAACAAGGAGGAGATGGGCAGCAGCATCTTTCTGATAACAGCAAAAATACAATAAAACAAAACTGCGGTTGCCAACCCGCTCGCCAAGTGTGGCAACTATAGCAAATACCCCCTACGAATGAATGTAAAAAAGAGTCGGCCCCCAGTCCCCGGCGGTCCCGCTATTCCTGGCTACGGTAGCGACCATGGTAACGGCGGGGCAGGGGGTGCTAAGAATCTCTGGTGGATGTTCGGTTGCCACCTACGACGAATCGACCTGGCAACATACAACGCACGCACCCTGAGGACTGACGAGAAGATTGTGGAGCTGGAAGAAGAGATAGACAAGTTACGCTGGCATATTATAGGATTATCCGAAGTCCGAAGAAAGGGGGAGGAAACGGTAATCCTCGAATCCGGCAACTTGTTCTATTACCGGGAGGGCGACCATCTGTCCCAAGGAGGTGTCGGATTTATCGTCCACAAGTCGATCTATCTATCTATCTATCTATCTTGAGGGGCTGCCTCATACCGGCAGGCGAAGTGTAGGACGTCCCCCCACTAGATGGAGTGACGACCTGGTAAGACATGCAAGAAGTCAATGGATGTAGGAGGCTCGGTACCGTGCTTTGTGGCATTCTTTGGGAGAGGCCTATGTCAACAGTGGACTTGTGAAGGGCTGTAATGATGACGGTGAAGTTAAACTACGAATTTAAGAATGTTCAAATTTCAAAATTTCCTCCACATTTTTACAAACTAAATTAAATTTTAATACATTAATTATTTAATATATGACGTTTTTTCATGTTCTCACATTGTCATCCGATTCTGAGCTATGTTCAAAATTTCATTAAAATCAATTACTAAATTCCACCCGAACGAAAGCGAGTTAAGTTTAACCGTGGTAAAATACTAAAAGGAAAAAATGTCACTTCCACGATTACGACAATACTTACAATATCCCTTAAAAGTAAAGTTACAGCCTATATACGTCCTACCTCTTCTCATTTTTGAGAGGATTTTAGGGCTAGGAAGTGTAAATGCGTGTTGGCAAACTTCACATGTCTTCAAAAATATTTTTTTTATTTTTCTCAGTCATGCAGGTTTCCTCACGATGTTTTCCTTCACCGCCGAGCACGTGGTAAATCAGCACTTAAAATTGCAATTAACAATTTCATTGGTGCCGGCGGGGATCGAACCCGGGTTGCTCGCGTATCGTGAAATTTACCGCGAGCGCTAACCATCTGAGCTACCACGGCTACCACAATATCCCCTATTATGTTTAAATTCATCAAGTCGTTTGGCTATAGATCGTTATTATACATACCTACTCGAAAAATATTACTCTCCGTCTATGGCAGTTGGGTAAAAACTAAGGTCTTTAAAATTTTTGTAATTAACGGATCAACATTTGTAGTTTTATGAGTATCTTAAAGTTAGTTTTAAGGGAAGTGTGGGGAAATTTATTTAGCCATAATCACTACGAGTACATATCAGGTTTTTTAAGCGAGTAGAGTAGATGAGTACCGGTGACAGAAACCAGAGCGTTTCAAGCAGTGGGTTGTTATTAAATTTATAATGAGATAGTCTAACAATTACAGAACAGTAGTTGTTACTTATAATCTTTTAAAGTGGGCCCAGGTTCATCTTCGATCGTTACATCTTCGTAGAGACGCGTGAGAACGGAGCGGCGTAGCACGTCGGTGTCGGAGTCCGCGCTGCCACGCACATAGCCCGTAGCGCGGCGACTAATGTGACTGGGTTTAGTATTTAGAGTGAAAGCAGTCGGAGCTATTCGCACTTTCCTAGTAAACATCAAAAAATAAAGTAACAAGTGAATTTTTTAAAATTATATCACCAATAGACATACACGAAAACGAGTAAATAAAAACGTGGTAAAATTTCATTCAACAGTAGAGCCACGTGGCGGCTTTTGCTGTCGCACGGATGGGCCGTCTCGAACCGGGGTGGTACCACGACCTCACAGAATACCAGCGTGAAGTAGAGGTTTACCTCTGCGTTTCGCTTGGTGAGTGCAGGTGGCCGGAGGCCCTTTTTACTGGAAATGAGGCATTCCATCTTAGTCCTCACGGGTGACAACGCATCTGCATTTTGATTTGTAATAGAGGATAGATGTAGATGTCTATGGGCCGCAGCAACCACTTACCATCAGGTGCACTGTGTGCTCGCTTGTCACACGAATCCTATAAAAAAAAAATGCATTTTTTAAAGGAAATTTATATACAGCAATGAGGAGAAGACCCAAAGAGTCAAGTCCAAACCGAAATTAGTTGTTCATGGGCGCCGGTTGACACTTACCATCAGGTGAGCTGCATCCTCATTTACCCCCTTTTCTATAAAAAAATCCAAGGTTGTTCGCGTAGTCTTTATAAAAGTCGACCATAAAAAATTGACTTGTTAAAATATACACACAGACATCTTTCATTAATTTGTCTACGGCAACGTCCCTTCGTTTAATATTGCATGCCTCGAGTTAAATAGTTAGTAGCATATAAATTACTCTACTCTATGGTTAGTAGTTTAATATTGCACGAGGGCGTGGGAGTGCTCTACTCTCGACATGCCGCGACATGTGAGGATTTGACAATATAAAATTGTTATTATGTCTCAATTTAGACACTAAATCGATAAAAAGGGATGTTTTGAAATTAGATATATTAAATTATAAAGTCAGCGTATTTTTTTATTAATTTGTTTTGTTATATTTACAAAAAAATGTAGTTAAAAAATTATTAGTAGGTACGGCTGTCAGCTAGTCTGTGCACTTGTTTGTCGCCACGTTTCAGAAAAATCTACTCAACGAAAGGAATTATCTTTCTGAATAAGTTTCCATTTATCCTCAGGGTGATCCCTATTGCTTCTTGTTACGTCTATGAGTCTGTCATAGACGTTTAAAAGATTTTTATTTTTTTATCAAATTTAAATGAAATTTTGATGAAAAATAAAAAATATTCATGGGGCATGCACTTTTGGATTTTACAAACTATTTTGTAATAAACAGTGGTGAAGAATTAATATCTTTATATAATAGGTACATATTAAATGTATATTATGCAGTCGAAAAAAATATCCACCTAGCGACCGATGATTCTTCACCTTCTATTGATGTACTGCCTTTACTTATAAGGGCCTTGTCTAAAAATCCTGGTAGCGTGTACTCCGTTTGACTTCTTATAATATTTTCGGGAGACTTTGATTCTACCGGGGGTATGTTTAAGGGCACAAATCTAAAACATTAGTAAAAAAATAAAAATAAAACTATAAAACAAAATGGCGGAGTAAATTCATTACGTAGGTACGAGATGTGCGTATATAACGTAATAAGCCCTGTTAGAGACTTAGAGAGGAATGTTATTTTAAATGTTCGTAGCTATATAATTGCTAAGAGAAGAAATTTCCAAAATTATATTATAATCTGCTATTTAGTAGCGTTTCAACTAGTGTTGCCAAGTTGCAAAATTTCGGGGCTGAAGGTATAACAATTGAGATATTAGTTCTCAAATCAGGACAACTAAAAAGCAATTTTTTATTATCAAAATTTTAGTCTGCAAAGCTGCCTTCGCTATTTTTTACTTAATTATTTTCTCATTAAATGCATTATTTAGAAAATGTCAATACAAAGTTTTTCGATTATATTGGCTTGTGTTTATATTACTTTATTATATTATGTAGGTACTTATAGATGTGTAAGTTAAAGTTGTAGAGGTAGTGGCTAAAACAAATACAATTTGTTTTCTTTCAGTTCATTCTACGTCTCTATATGTATAATTCAGAAAACGTTTGTATACATATTTTCAACCGACTTTAAAAGGGGGGAGTTCTCAATTCGACTTTATTTTTACTAGGTGAACCAATTTTGATGATTCTTGATTTGAAAGCTAGTGCTTCTCATGAGAAGCACCAGCTTACAAATCACGAATCAGCTTTCAAATGGTCCCATATAAATTTGATCAAGATCTGACCAGTAGTTTTTGAGTTATCCTTAATAATGCGTATTTAAATGAATTCGACTACATTGATGATGTTCTCATTATATTTACATTGAAGTTGGTTGTACAAAATTTTTAATTTTGCCACTTGATATTAATGAGGAAGAATCAAAAGGCAACGTTTTAATTCAAATTATACTGCCGTACACAGTGTCGTCTGTTCTTCAATTTGTTAGTAAGCTTGACCATTATTTCACAACTTTTATAACAGCAATGATTCATTTTCTAGACTGATTTAAGTATTTTATAGTATATTATTAGTAGGATTTTACGCCTTATTGTTAAACACAAGGAAAGGTTCTGCGTCGCGTGTGCTCAGAGATTATATTTTTTGATGTCTTAAGTCTGAAACACCCACAATCGGGACATTTGGCATCCCACTCATGGATTAATCAGACCGTGTCTACGAACCTAGGAAGTCGGGACATCCCGTGCAAATCAAAACACATGGCAACTCTAGTTGGAACTATGGGCAGTCTCTATAAAACGCTGGTTAGTCAGTAGCTTAACATGTAACATTAAAAATTATAACGGTGACCATGACTACATAAAATATAGCATTGGGTTCTTACTTTTCTAGTTCATCCCTGGTCCGACAATCGGTTGATGCGAGTCTGAAAAATTGTTGTGTATTACTGATCGAATTTAACTTAAGTTACGAACAATAAAAATGTACAACGATTTACCTGAATCTTCGCAACTCTTCATCGGTGATTAATTCAGATCTAGAACAGTAATAAAGAAGAAGTGCATGTTGGTGCCATTAGGTCTGCCCTGATTATTCTATTTCGCATTTAATGGACTTATTTTTGTTATAAAAAATACAGCTTTGATTTTAATGAAAGTAATTATTTTTATGCAATTATTTCGGTGAGTATATTTTAATCCCTATGATAACGTGGTACACGAATGTTAAGGAGTATTTCTTAAAATAAAAAGCAATAAATATCACACAAAATCCAACATTCCTTTTATAACAGAAAAGCTTTTGCAACCCTGCTTTACAGGCTTTTGGTAGAGCAATTATTCAACAGATTTCACGTTTATATCTTCACTGTCAAGCACTTAGTAAACTAAGAATCATTTTTGCTGCTAATAATTTAATTTAAAAAACAACGGTAATTGCAATTACAGCTTCATAAAATAATATTTCTTATATCTCATTGGGAAGGCCTCGTAGTAGTGCCAAACCGATAGTTTTAGTAGTAGCTCTTTTCAACAATAGGATATTACCATACAAAAGAGCTCTTAAGTAATAAGTAGATATTAAAAGAAAACAGCTATGTACTTACTTTCTGGCGTCTTCAAAAATATTGAATTTCCCTACACCTCTAGCAATATTTTTTACTATATCTCCGGCAAAACTTACACGATCTACATTACACCTAAACGAAACAAAAGTATATTAATTTGACCACTGTAAAAGCGTCAATTTGAATACTTTAATTATTTAAAGTTGCTTTACTTGATATATCTTCGAATTTCTTCTTCATCGTCTGTGTCAAGCGAATTCACTGTAAAGGAAAATTTCAACTATGTGGTAAGATGGTTTAAATTTTTATGCTAAGCGATGAGACGATTCAACTTTATAAAATTTTTACAATCCTATTCTATTCTAAAATTGTAAGAATTAAAAGAAAACTGTCATTAAAATAAATTAATGATGGATTCATTTATCTTAAGTCTTACAGTCGGTACGGTACTGTAAAATCCACCACCAACATCTAGTCACGTCAAATAAGATCTGAAATCAAAATATTGACTCTCAACTTTGCATTTTTGATATGATGTAGTATTACCATAAATAAACCACCCATGATTACAACCAATGTGTAAAGGTTTTCGCTAAAAAAATATCGCTTATTTTTCTACTCCCTACGACTTTTAAAATTTACGTTCATCCCTTAAACTTAAAACCTCTCTAACTCGGCTAAATTTGACAGGAGGAAAAAAATCATTTAACTTTTTCATATGTAAAATTTTAAGCTCTACACATTTTTTTGAACTTTTTAGGGTTCCGTATCTCAAAAGGAAAAAACGGAACCCTTATAGGATCACTTTGTTGTCCGTCTGTCTGTCTGTCAAGACCCTTTTTATCTCAGAAACGCGTGGAGGTATCGAGCTGAAATTCATATAAAATACTCAAGTCTACTGTCTCTTGAAGCAGTGAAAAAATCAAACTTCTAAGCTAACGCAATCAAAAGATACAGCCGTTTATGCCACAAATTTTAGACATTCGCAAGGGAATCAAAACCTACAGGGTACTTCCCGGGAATTCAGAATCTTAAAATTTGGTACGAAGCAACGTATTATGGCACAGATAAAGGAAAAATTGCGAAAAACATAAATTTTTAGTTACATCATATAATAAAAATATTTTTAATAATTTTAAACTTATATACCTACGGATTTGTGCGGAACCCTCGGTGCGCGAGTCCGGTGCGCGAGTCCGACTCGCAGTTGGCCGGTTTTTTGTCTGATTTTTACCGTTTTAGAGTAATTGTGAAAGAACACTTGACAATTTTTTTAGCCCTTGCCGGGGGTTGCGGACACGAAAACCTTTACACATTGGTTTTGTATCATTAATACTATATTATGTTAAAAATGCAAAGTTGGGTGTCGATATTTAGATTTCAGGCCTTATTTGACTGGACTAACCACCACATTTCGTACCGTGGTTGTCGTAGGAGGAACTACTCCAATAGATGGCAGTTTAAGCATCTCGTCTACACTACAAGTAAAATACTCAGACCGATGCGATGAGGGCACCAAGACATCTGAAAGTGCGATCGAAAACCCACTAAAATCTGATACTTTGTCGGTGGCTTGTTAATTATTGCATGCAAAACCAGTTTATAATTCAAACAAATAGCCTACAAAGCTAAGAACAACACAAAGTAGATAAATAATTTCTTACAAGTAATATCATCGGAGTCATGAATTTCGTCCAAATCAATCATTTCTGAAGCATATGAAGCCTGCGCTTTACCGATCTTTTTAGGGTGTTCTGTCATTAAATCTTCTTCAAGACAGTAATGGCCTTTCAAGAATCTAGTAATAAAGAATATAATTTTTTTAACGATTTCTCAAATATTTATATGAATAAATAACATAAAAACAACGCAATAAAAAAAAAGGTTTTTTGTATAATATAGTATAACTTATAACTACTTTATTCTGTGTAAAATCTAACCAGTTTCAGTTAAAAAATCCAATAATGAACTTAAAAATCCCCTGGTTGCCGTTGTTCATAGGAGGCGGTCGACACTTACCATCAGGTAAATCGCATGCTCATTTTCCCCACTTTTATCAAAAAACACATACATCTATATTTATGTCACCGGCGGCACTATTTTATTAGTACTTGTCGTCCCGTGGGTGCCGTAAGAGGCGACACAGGGAAAAAAACAGGAGATGGGCAGCAGCACCATCCTAACTAATAATACTAAAAAATTGCGTTTGTCAGCCCACCTGCTAAGCGTAGCAGCTACGGAAAACTATATATTTTATACGTGATAGAGCCATGTAGTTGCAGCATAGCAGCTTAACGCTGCTGTGTTTCGTATGGTGAGTGTAGAGAACCGGAGACCCTTTCTACTGGAAAAGAGGCATTCCATCTTAGTCCTCACGGGTGACAACGCATCTGCATTTTGATTCTTTATTGAGGATAGATGTAGATGTCTATAGGTCACAGCAGCCACTTACCATCAGGTGGACTGTGTGCTCGTTTGTCACCCTATCCTATATAAAAAAAATATTCCTTAATCAATAAAATTTATTTTACGTATTTTATCGTGACTAACTTATTTTTAATTTCCGAGGTTTTGATTGCTGTACAGCGTTCAAAACCCGTGTTAAATAACATTTAGCTATAGCTGTGAACCACAGATGCTCCGGGATATCTTCGTCTGTGAACACGTTAAAGGTCGTCCCCACCACGTTATTTTACGAAAATTTGTAGATAAACCACTAATCTTCGCAAACGGAACACCGACTCCTAAACAAGGATGATTCGCGAGGCAATTGAAATTATAAAAAAACATAAAAATTTCAATTGAAAATATGACTGGGTGCTACTATATGCTTGGGATCCTATAATTAATAAAATTAATTCCAAACCCAAGCGTACTACTGCAAGACTTAATGATACTGTAAGTTCGTTAAAATTAATATTCAATTGCTGAAGGTAGACCCGGCTAACTATGACATTGGAATGTCAAACATTTCGGTCCCTCGTGAATCGTGACCATCGGTGTTTTTAAGCAACCGAAACGTCGGTAATGAACAATAAGTTAAGTTAAGCGCGATAAAATCTGAAAAATTATTTAGTTTTATTCAATGTCAATTCGTGTAAATATATAATATAAGAAATCATTATCCCTCAACTAGGCAATGGCGGAGGCTTATGGTCAGCCGTAGAATTTTGATATATTGTAACGGTAACGCAAAATACCAGTAAGGAGTTTGTTTTGTTTTGTTTAGTTTTGAGTGCGTTTAATACAAGAGAAAATTTAATTAAAAGTAGTACCGTAAATTTAACTTTGTATGACAATTTAGAATGGAATCAGTTAGTGCTAAATACAAAAATTTAGTCTTTTGATGGCTCCGTAAGAAAATCCATCACCCAATTTCGTTCCGTCTCGTGGAGTCGCAAGGGGTGAATATGGAAAATGCCAGAAAAAATGTTATGGCTTCCAACCATTGATTTATATGTACTACGTACTAGAGAAGCCATTCTAAACAAAAAATGTGCACTACTCTATGTCTTCGCGCATGCGCGGGAGATAGCAGAGTCGAGCATACGCAGTTAAACGCGTTGCGTCTGCGCGGTCAGTTTTTAATTTAAACTTTAATTTGAAATCTTATATTATTAGCGCCACTCCACACGGCATGAATATTGAAACCGCAGATTAACTAGTAGATTGAAACGAGAATAAATGACACACTGTACGGATTGCAGTACAGTTCAGTTGAACATAGTATATGTTCGGAATGCGAAATCTAGTACGTAGTATATATATATATATATATATATCGATGCTTCCAACAGATAGCGGTATAGATGCTTATCACTTCTGATGACTAAGATGGAATGTCTCTCAGTCTGAAACGATACTGACTCTCTATACCCTTCAAACTGGTACCTGGTACCTATTTTAACGGACTCCTAAGCAGAAAAAGTGTCTTACATCCCAGTAGATAATAATCATAATAAAATCATCAGGGTCTCCTTTATGGCCGACGTAAGAGACCGGCGAGAGGCAGCAGCATCAAATTTGCGATACGCTTGGTACCGCGATCGTCAATCCGTCTGCCATGCATGATGATTAAGGTATATCCTCCTTACAAAGGGAGAGGCCCATGGCCTGCAGTAGACTTTAACTAGCTGATGATGACGATCGTGATGATGATAATGACAGTAAATGAATTTATTTCGTACATTTTTTTATACATCTATAATATAAAAATGAATCGCTGAATGTGTTGCTAAGCGCAAATCTCGAGAACAGCTGAACTGATTTCGCTAAATCTTTTTTTATAATATTCCTTGAAGTACGAAGATGGTTCTTACGGAGAAAAAAAATTAATAAATTGCCTGAAAAAATCTAAAAACAACACTATTCTATATTCCCATACAAAAGATTCGTAATAATACTTAAAATCCAATTTGAACTTTATTACCATACTATAAAGTTTAAGTGTTAGTGGAGGGGTTCCGGGAAGGCAAAACAATTGAGTGACGTTAGTATCGTATAAATATTAATATCAATATTTGTCAATATTTATACACACTGGCAGATAGCTGATGTTATAAGGAGTAACTTGGACTGCTTTTATTTTAGGGTTCCGCGAAAAATAACTACACGCGGGAGAAGTCGCGGGGAACAGCTAGTTGCTTATAAAAGTATACGACTATATACAAAATGATTTAGGCAATACATGTATAAATACTTACTTTTTTAAGTCATGAGTGGAATCAATCTCCCCAGGGTAAGGCACGTCTGTTAATGGAATATAAAATGGTATTTCTGGTTTTACTTTCGAGTGTGAACTTGGAGGTGCATCTAAAGATACTTCTGCTTCATATTCGTTTTCCGATTCATATAGTTCTACATCGAACTCTTCGTTCTCCTGCTCGCTTACAGTAGATGAATGTTGATTGTCTGTATCACTTTCTTCTATTTGTTTATCTATATCTTCTTTTCTTCTTATAAATCTGTTGTACGCATACAAGGTTTTGCGTATTAAATATTTTTAATAAATCCACCTGACTGATATCTTTGTAAAATCATGTGTACCTATTTACAAGTATGATTTCGTAGTTTTTTTAACTAACTAACTAACTTCCCCCAATTATCAAAGGAACTTTGTCGAAACTACGGAAATAGTTCTGTACTTTCACAGCTCCTTAGATGGGCTCACGGCTTCTTCCGGTTTTTTAGTATACAGATTACCGAGAGAAGTACTTATACTTCGTACTCTCTGATGAGATGATTTCTCACTGCCTAACTTAGATATTAAACTCTTTCGAAAGGGAAGGGCTATACATACACCAGTAAAGATAAAATAAGCTGATAATAATATAATCTTATAATTTTTATAACATTTATAATAGGCATAAAAGTATTTTGCCATTTTTAGGGTCGGAACCCAAATAAAATAACTTTTTTGTCGGTCCATCCGTCCATCCGTCTGTCAAGACCTTTTTTCTCAGCAACGGGTAGAGGTATCAAAAGGCTGCGCCTCCTTTTCCCTAAGAGGGGGTTGCTTCCGATTTGGCAGAAAGGTCATACAGGCCAACGCCAGTCCCATAGGTGGTGTTTAGTTTAGCAGCCGGCTATCGTGGTATGCTACGAGCATTCATCATCTCCCTCTCCCGCTTCCGGAGGGTGCCTGTGCATTGGGCGCAAAAAAATGTATCAAATTGAAATTAATATCTAATAAGGTCAGTGGTGCTGTGGTGTGAAAAATTCAAGCTTCTTAGTCAATTTAAATAAAAGGTAGGTACGGCCAAATATATCATATAAAGATTAAAATTTTACCACATATATTTTTTACCTTGTTTTTTAGCAATATAGGTCATAAGGCAGCAAAGTTAATGGCATTCGTGTATCGGATATCGAGAACGGGCAAAAAAAAAGTAAGTCTCCCGATTACCAAAATGGATAAATTATCTATTACATACATAATAAAGTTTATTTATAACCCTCAAGGCCTTTATTTATAATCCTACTCGCTCATGTACGGTTTTTTTACATAAATAATATTATTACAGTGTCTGATATATTCTAGGACTTTAAATTATGTTATATTTATAAAATTCTAGTGACAAACAATCTCACTGTCCATCTGATGGTATGTAGGCCCACTGCAACTCATGGGTAGCTACAACCAACTTAAAACAAAAACAAATAGAGATGCGTTGTCACCTCTGATTACTAAGATGGAATGCTTCACAGCCTATAATATACTGGCAGGGTGTAGAACCCTTCACACCGGAACAGCAATGCTAAGTATACCAACTACACCTACCTAAAATATCGTATTGATACAGAACATAAAAAATCACTTTATAACCTTCGTGTTGCTCTTATATTATTCAAGTCTTTGTTAGCATTTTCTTCTTCCTCTTCTTCCTGATGAAGATGATGTGTAGTTTGTTTCGTTTCTAGCTCCAAAAATACTTTTTTAATCAGATCCTATTATAATGAAGAGAGTAATTGTGTTTAAAACATTGGAATTAGTAAGAGAATTTAAAAAATATAAACAATTTCTTGCTTAATATTTAATGCAAATGGTAGGTATGTCATGCTGCGCGGGTCCTCATAGATCTTCTATTACTTTATTTTTACACAGAAAAATTAGTCTCGATATCTGCGCTTTTCCAGCAGCACATTACAGCCCTTCACAAGTCCACTGCTGAACATAGGTCTCCCCCAAGGAATGCCACAAAGCACGGTCCTGAGCCACCTGCATCCATCGACTTCCTGCATGTCTTACCAGGTCGTCACTCCATCTAGTAGCAGGTCACCCTACACTTTGCCTACCGGTACGAAGCTGCCACTCGAAAACCTTTTTCCCCATCGGTTGTCGGTTCTTCGAGCTATATGGCCCGCCCATTGCCACTTCAATTTACTAATCCGTTTCCTTTCATATATGTATAAGTAATTTTTAACCACATTATTGCTATTTGCTTCTTTTAAACTTAAAAATTACAATAATAACGGCCATGTTACTTCGGATTTGTTTACCAACACAGGCCGCCCGTCCTCATACAACATACAGATCGGTCGAGTGGCTGATCCAAGTCTGTATCGGAGTTTTTTTTATATAAGAGAGAGAGGGCAAACGAGCATGCGACTCACCTGATGGTAAGTGACAACCGTTGCCCATGAACAACTGCAACACCAGAGGAATTGCAGGTGCGTTGTCGGCCTTTTAGAAAGGAGTAATCTCGTTTTTTGACGGTCCCTGAGTATTATCGGTCCGGAAAAATCACAAGTGGCAAAGGATTCCACAAAGTAGTTGTACAAAGAGTTGTCACTGTCACCGAGCGATACTTTTATATGTATCTGTGTGTGTGAAATTGTTAATTTATTGTTATAATTGTTATGTGTGAGTTTCGTAGTGACAGACGATCGTTTTTGCGTGCGCAAATTTCCCTCTGCAAAAAACGACAGACAGATCTGTATCAGGGAAAAATGCTATGGCTACTCTCCTCCGGTCTACCGGTGGTCCGTGTTGCTCTATTGTTGTGTCTCGTTGTCACAAAGTGATTATATCTTGCTTGGCTTTACTGTATTAAAATATAGCTAATGTTAGGTAGCTGTTTGGGCTGAGGGTTCGAATCCCGCGCGGAACACGAAATTTTACCGGGCCAGGAATATTGGTCATGTGCAATTTATCTATGTATAATACGATACATCAAAATTCTTAGTCTGAATAAAATATTCAGAGTACGAAAGAGGCGTATTGGCTAACTCTATTCTACAAAGATATTTACCAATGTATAATTTTTACCTACCGAATACAGTACATCTCCCAGTTCAGAAAGATTTTCAATATGCCCTTGAATATATTCATGAATCCCTTTACATACAACTATCTCTTGGCAATCCAGGTTTAAAATACCAGCTTTGTAAATAACAACTTCGCAAGTTGGCGACTCATACCAGGTTGGAACATTCTCAATTATTTGTAACGTTTGTTCTCCGTCGATAAGTTGTCCGAACGCTACGTACTTCTTTTCCATCCATGGTGCAGGTTGCAGTAATATGAAGAATTGAGTGGAACAGTCCTTATGTCTAAAAAACGTTATAAGCGTTTTTTTTTAGTTTAAATCGTTTTAAAGTTTATATCAAACATAATAACAAAATATTGTAAAACATTATGCTATTTTTTATATTATCATTATTATAGTCGTTTACAAGTCGAGCATGGCCTCCTAGTATCTCCATAGAACGCTAAGCGACTTTCAGATTTCTCATACTGACAGTAGTAGGTAAAGGAACACGTCTCAGTAGGACAGCTTAAAGAGAGTGAATACCATGTTTTACTACCGGCAACTTGCATGACACTCTTGTTTTAAGGTTTTGAGGAATACGTAACAAGAAGAAGTGTCGTACTCTACTGCTCGATTCTTCCGTCGATTAATCTTTTAGTCGAATTTGGACTTACCCAGTCAGACAATTTATCATAGGTAACGTAACCATTGATGCTGATGTCATGTGTCAATTAACTCTTAGTCATAAACTGATATATTGAACGACTATATATAGTTTTCGACCAAGAGCATACAATAGTCAGTTTATTATATACGTACATATTACATAATATACTGACTGCATCGTTGGTCTAGTGGTCGTTAACGCGATAGCTGATCATGAGGTTTCAGGTTCCAATCCCCGGTCGGGCCTACAATATATAATGTATATAAATCGTATTGATGTTTTATTATTATTTTTGAAATGGAATGGAATGTTAAATTAAATTGAGGTATATTTTAATTTGTTTTAATTAATGTATTTTTAATTTTGTTAACTAATTAGACGTAATGGCATGCAGCCACTTACCACCCGGTAAGTGACAGCAACTCACATTTATCCAAACTTTATATTGTTTCGCGGGCTGTTAGTAGCCACTAAAACAAGACTTCTTTTCTGTCGAGCAGTCTCTCTGGGTAGGTACCACGCTTATCTATTTCTGCCGCCAAATAGCAGCACTTGCAGTGCCGTGTTTCAGTCTGGAGGGGGATTAAGGGCTGAGAGGCATTCCATCATAGTCGTCAGAGGTGACAAGCATCCGTAGCCTCCTTTGTTCGCAGTTGACTTTAGGTGTCCGTGAACTGCAGTAGCCACTTACTATCAAGATAGACAGTAAATTCGTTTACCACTTCAAATTTACAAATAAATACATATAATCTAAATACAGCTTTTTTAACTGATTAGAAATGTCAGCAATAAATCATTCTAATAAACTGTGACCAATACTCAATTGTTTTAACCTAGTAAGAAGTTTTATACGTGGTAGAGCCACGCTGCAGCTATAAGTACTATGGTTGTAGCACGAATGGGTCGGCCCGACAGGGGTGAAACCACGCTCTCACAGAATACCAGCGTAAAACAACAGCTTCATGCTGCTGTGCTTCGTATGGTGAGTGTAGAGAATTGGAGACCCTTTTTACTGGAAGCGTGGCATTCCATCTCAGCTCTCAGTCCTCATTTGCAATTTTTTATTTTTAATCAAGGTTGATGTTTATGCACCACGGCATTCACTTACTATCAGGTGGACTGTGTGGCTGTTTGTCACCCCTACTCTATAAAAAAATTATAAACGAGTAGGTACACTCCACTGAGCTTTGAGGACAAAAGTGGAATGTCTGGTTAGCAGTAAAATATAGCAGTATGCAAAAATAAAGAAGTAAATAACAATATAAAACTTAAGTTTGTCGCCAATTTATGATCATTGAATCGGTCACCTGCCATCATTTGCCATGCATAGTACTCCGCGGCGATCATGAGGCACTATAAAATTTTCGCAATCTAATTGAGTGTCCTTCAATCCAAACCCTCCGCATTGGATCCAACAATCTTTGACTATGCGGTGAACAGGAGTTCCGGCATAGCCGCCTCTCTTTTCTGTACACAGACGCATGAAGTTCTCGCATGTTCGTGGTACTATATCAGAGTACAACTAGAATGTTAGATATTGTTGATAATTATTATTTTATAATTTAAAAAAATGTTAACATATTAAATTAAAAATATTAAAATATGTTCACCATAAATATCATGGTTCCAATGTGATCACAGTTTATTGAAAAGTGCATATAGACGCATGGTCTCTGAAAATAGAAATCAATTATTGGTACCTACAGTTTTACGGAAAAGGAGCAGCTTTTGTAGAATACTCGCACAATATTATCTACCATTTGTTTACGATTAACGATACAATACTATAATATTGAGATAGATATCCCTGTAGATATCCCCGAGTAGTGGCGGGTAAGAATACCCACTACCCCATATCTTCCCGTGGATAACGTAAGAGGCGACAGAGAGAAACTGAGGCAGAAGATGGGCAGCAGCATCTTTCCGATAACAGCAAAACAACAATAAAAAACTGCGGTTGCCAACCTGCTCGCCAAGCAACTATGGCAATAAACCCCCATGATTAAAGTTACGAAGAGACGGCCCCCAGTACCCCGGCGGCCCCGCTATTCCTGGCTACGGTGGCGACCATAGTAACGGTGGGGTAGAAGGTGCTAAGAATCTCCGGTGGAGGTTCGGTTGCCACTTAAAATGACTCGACCTGTCAACATATAACGCACGCTCCCTCAGGACTGACGAGAAGATCATGGAACTGAAGGAAGAGATAGACAAATTGCGCAGGAATATTATAGGACTAGCTGTGCCCGCGGCGTAGCTCGCGTATATAGGTTTTACTTAAAGAATTTAACGTTTAGGTAAGAGAATATTAAAAGATTTATATCATTACTGTATGAATAAGTGGCACCAAAATAAATCGTTATGCTCAAAGTTCTGAGTCGTTTGTGATAGAACTTCTGTGTAAACGACGTTAGAAGTAGACAGCCGGGGCGTACAGAAAAATGTTACGGGAGCTACTAACGCGGGAAAAAGCAACATAGAGTTGGCCATGTGCAAAACAGTCAGTACTGAGGTCCACTCCTGCAACGCGTAAAGTTTGACCTTGCGCTTTATTTACGGTCATCGGTCATCGCATAACACACGCTGACTGGGAATGGGAAGTGGGAACAGAACACGCTTAGAACTGAAAGGAAAGTTATTTGATATAAGGTGGATTCTTGGTATAAAACAACATCATGACATATTGTTTTTGATGCAATTTTGCTACGTTTAACTTGGGCGTACGTATCTTTTTTCTGATATCTGTTTTTGATGATGTTTATGCTGTTAGCTTACACCCTACACGGCTCTTTCAGCTTGAATGGACTCGTTAACTTACAACGCCATCTATTACGTTCTTCGTGGAAGACATCCTTTTTTAATTTAAGGAAAACATATTTTTTGTTTACTGTGTTTAAAGTATAAATATATTATAATAAAACGTTTTTTTATAAAAAGGAATCATTTTGTTACTATTTCTGAGGTTTTATGGCGCCTTTAAACAAATCGAACCTACATTTCAAAATAATAATCAAAACTTTCGATAGAATTAACCAATTTTAATAAAACAAAGTTAATCTTTGAGCTGGATGATACGCTTTATGATTTTCTAAACAATTTCTTTGAAAAAAAGATGTTTACTTAAGACGTGATGCGTTCATAAACAAACAGACAGACAGACAATTCTAAAAATTATAAAAATGTACTTATTTAATGAGTTTCAGTCTCCATAATGATTTTAGTCACAAATTAATATACTATACAATGTACAGAATCAAACACAGCATGTGATTACTGCATGTATAGAGATATAAGGATAGATGGCGCTGTTAAAATCAATTCTAAAAATAAAAGAGATTAATTGACGCGATTGATACAATAAAAAAACTTAAAAGAACTTATAAATCAGGCCTACATCGTAAGCAAGAAAGAAAGTTTGATCCTCGCCGAAACCAACGAAATTGTTAATAGCTCTTTTAAAATTTGATTTACCATGTAGAGTACTCGGCGGTAAAGAATAAATGACATTGTCAATACACAGTAGGGCAGCGAGTAATTTAAAGATTAACAGCAAATATGAAAAGTCATTTACAGAAAAAAAACCACAACCTGCCTTCTTGCATGACATTTGTGCAACACCACCATCTATCGATGAAATGGGTTAACTATTGTACTTTAGATTTACATAATAAGGTTAATATATTTTTTAATATATTTATTACGTTCTTTATGCAATACTTTTGTTTACTGCGTTTTAGATATAATTTCATCATTATAGAACATTATTTTACATCATTTAATTATGTTATGATTTATAATATTATATTAGTTTAAAATGTACTTGATGACTCAACAAACGCCACCATTGAACAATTTCGTACCTATACTTTGTAGCCATACTTCAGAATATTTATCATAACTTTTGATGGAATGAACTAAATTTAATGAAATAAAGACTAAATGTAACCTGAAGATACACTTTATAAATTCTTTAACGATTCTTCTGATATAAATTGGTACTTTATACGTGATACGTTAACAAACAAACAGACAGACAGACAGACAGACAGACAGACAGAAAATTCTAAAAATGGTAGAAATGTATTTAATTACTTATTTTTAGTACCACTCAATCACTTTTATTATATAAATCTAAAATGTACAGACATCGGCTATTTACATTTTTATTATATGTATAGATTATCTGAGGTCCGAAGAGAGGGGGAGAACATGGTAATCCTCAAATCCGGCAACTTGTACTATCACCGGGAGGGTGACCATCTGTCCCAAGGAGATGTTAGATTTATCGTCCACAAGTCTCTCGTTAACAACGTTGTAAATATTGTGAGTGTGTCGATGAGGATTGCGTACCTTTTGCTCAGAATCACCAAACGGTATTTGCTGAAGGTCATACAGGTTTACGCACCAACCTCGGCACATCCCGATAAGAAAGTGGAGGAAATGTATAAAACCCACTATACGGTGTTAATGGGAGACTTCAACGCAAAACTAGGCACAAGAGAGAACGGTGAGCTGAAGGTAGGGAAATTTGGAATAGAGCAACAGAACCCAAGGGGCCAGCAGCTGGCCGACTTCATGGAGAAAGAGGGACTCTTTATGACGACCTCTTTATTCCAGAAGCGGCCCCAGAGAAAGTGGACCTGGTCGAGTCCCAACGGCTCGACAAAAAATGAGATTGTCTTCATTATGACGAACAGACGACAACTGTTCAGTAATATCTCAGTGATCGGGAAGATGAAAACCGGCAGCAATCACCGAATGGTGAGAGGCACACTTAACCTAAACGTTAAGTTGGAGAGGTCACGTCCTATGAAGTCAATGCTCCGTCCCCCTCGTGCTCTATCTAATCCAGAGTCCTGAAACCTTTCAGCGCAAGTTACAAAACCGTTTTCAGCGCCTAGAAGATTGCAATGCAGTGGACGATATGAATAACAAACTCGTCGAAACTGTCCATGCAGTTGGAGCTAAGTTTTGCAAGACCCGCCGCAGAAGAACACAAAAACTTTCCGATCACGCTCTTAATCACATGGCAGGTAGACGTAAAATGAAGCTGCAGTCTTCAGTAGATTTGACAGCATACAGGCAACTGAACAGACACATCTCCAAGTGCATGCGACGGGACTTAAGCAACTCGAGCGGAATCAGGGCTTCAAAGTCTTTGCTAGAGATCTGTCTGCCAGAGAGAGCCAACTGTCGAAGCTGAAGACCGAGTGTGCCAGCGTCGTTTCCGGGATATCTGAGATTTTGAGTAAGATTGAGAGGTTCTATGGACAGTTATACATATTATCGTTGGAGCTGCACGCAAGTGTGAGCAACGATCCAAGAGCAAGTCTTATCCGACACTATTCCGATGATATCCCGAACGTCAGTCTGAGCGAGATGGCTCTCCAGCACCTTAAAAACGGCAAGGCCCCAAGCGAGAATGGAATTACAGCGGAGCTTCTGAAAGCAGGTGGAAAACCGGTACTTGAAGTCTTTCAAAAACTCTTCAATTTCATCCTCCATGGTGGGACTACACCGGAGGCGTGGAGCAGAAGTGCGGTGGTCTTGTTCTTCAAGAAAGGCAACAACGCTCTCTTGAAGAACTATAGACCGATTTCCCTTCTGAGCCGCGTCTACGTGCTGTTTTCGAGAATCATTACGAATCATCTCGACGACTTTCTCTCTCTCTGCAGACTCGACGACTTCCAGCCTCCCGAACAAGCCGGTTTCCGAAAAGGCTATAGCAGCATAGACCACATACATACCCTTCGGCAAATTGTACAGAAGTCCAAGGAGTACAATTTACTACTATGTCTTGCTTATGTGAACTATGAGAAAGCCTTTGATCCCGTCGAAATTTGAATGAACTCAACCTTGTGCCTCCCATCGAATAGGTCTTAAGATGAACATGGACAAAACAAAGATCATGTATAACGTCCATGTCACAACTACGCCGGTAGTTGTTGGGAGCATTAAGCTCGAAGTTGTTGACGAGTATGTTTACCTGGGACAAATAGTCCGACCAGGTAAGTCCAACTTCGATCGAGAGGTCAATTAATGGATTCAACTCGGCTGGGCAGCGTTCGGGAATTTACAGCACATCTTCTCGTCAGGTATACCTCAAAACTTGAAAACGTACTAATGTACAGTCACAACCAGTGCGTGTTGCCAGTGATGACCTTCACTCCTTCACTGCTGGCCGTATGAGGAAGCTCAAGGACGCTCAGCGAGCTATGGAGAGGGCTATGCTCGGAGTTTCTCTGCGTGATAAACTTAGAAATGAGGATATCCGCAGTAGAACCAGAGTGACTGAGATAACCCAACTGATTAGTGCGCTGAAGCCATATAGCTCGAAGAACCGACAACCTTCAGACAACCCAACAGGCTTCGTACCGGCGGACGAAATGTAGAGTGTCCCTCCACTAGATAGAGTGAGGACGTCGACGGATGCATGTGGCTCAGGACCGTGATTTGTGGCATTCCTTGGGGGAGGCCTATGTTCAGCAGTGGACTTGTGAAGGGATGTAGTGATGATGATGATGACTATAATATTTGACGGCTCCGTGGCGCAGTGACTTAGCAATGAACTACAGCGCTGGGGGCCGAGGGGATTGAATCCCGCACGGAACAAGTATTTGTATGGCCTACAAATCATTGTTCCGGGTCTGTTTGTCCGTGTGCAATTTATATTTGTAAACTATCTCCACGATACAGGAGAAAATCCTAGTGTGAGAGGTACATTGCGGCCGAATGGAATGGAAGCGAATTTTTGTAACGAAATTGTAGGTACATAGTAAAATGAACTTTATGTTAATTGTATAACGTGCAAACTAGATATGATAAAAGAAATCGTGCATGTTCCGTGGAATTCTCGAGAATTTAATCAATGATATTGTTATTCTGCATCGTTACTTACGTAACGATGATCTCCTACGACAGATTAAAATGCACGTAAATGAGTTAGCTAACGGCAGTCCGACCAGGGGGTGACGGGCCCTCGGGTCTGACGGCTAACTCTTATCGTTCGATGTTCTGGGTGATGAGAACCGCCCAGGGACATGGGTGTACAGTGTGTAGGCGGAATGGAAGGGTGTACGGTGCGCCCGTCTGCGGACTCGTTGCGTCCCATCCGTTGCCTGGCCGGTGACATTTCGGTCGTTGGAATCTATCAAGTTGTATTAACTTTTTTTATGTTTCTGACGTTTCGAGTGCTTTACAGCATCCACGATCACTGAGGGTAAGGTATTAGGCGCCCCTATGTCATAATTAGCCACGACTACCCTCAGTTTAAAATTATTAATTTTTGGTTCTTACAAAAGAACACAGATTGGTTCCAATAATGATTCTTGAGGCTATTGTAATCAAAAACCATCATAATAGAGAAGATGGCTGGGTGATACCACCTGTTTTGGATCTTATAATTAATAAAATTAAATTCCAACCCAAGCACACCACTGCAAGATTTCATGGTACACTACTATAATTTATTTCTGCGTGCATGGGACCAAAAATTAAAAAATACATTTAACTGAACGTAGCCGTGGCTGACAATGGCATTGGGACGTCTAATACCTTAATCCCTCCGTGACCATGGGTGCTGTAAAGTATTCGATACGTCAGAAATATATGAAGGGGTCAGGGGAAAAACAGCTTTTGTCACATTTTTTGTTTTTTTCTGCTGGCAATGCAGTGTTAATGAACATACCCGTCTCTATGTTTTGCCAAAAACAACCCGGGCAATAATATTCATAGTCACATTCATAGTCAAACAACCTTTGTCACCTAATGAACAAACTGAGATATTACTAATTAAAAGTTAAGATGGGTTATTTAAGAAAAATTTATTTTGTTGAAAATATATTTATTGTAAAATGTTTTTCTATATTTTCTTTTATTTTACTTTGCATTATTTTAGAGTTATAATAAAAAATTATGACATAGTCAGAATAATCAGGAAAACATCATCCTATGTCCATCAAAATCAGGGGAAAAACAACCAATGTCACCAAGACACATAGGTACTTACTTTAATTAAAACTAATGTATTGGATTAGTATTTTAGATAGTGGAATAGTTTTAAGTTCTGAATAATATTTTTTTGCTACAGGTCTGCAATATTTTGATAATGACTGTACATCTAGGAATTTTGCTTTACTGATTGGTAGAATCTCCTTGTAAGCTTGGTCAGGCAAAATAAATTCTGTTGAATGAGAAGCATCTGCACAGGGAGTTGAGTTTGCCCTTTTTCTCTTTGCATCCAGCATAACAGATGAAGTCCACTGCCCATTATATGAATCTCTGTAGAAAATGAGACGGGGATGTGAAATATCAACTCTGATCTCACGGATAGGTCTAGAAAGAAATGGGCATCTCTTTTTATATTTTGGTGACAAAAACTTGGTCCAAGATCTGACTAAAGACTGATCAACATCTATAACTCGAAATGGTGAAGGTTTTAGCCTTGACTCAGATACTACTTTTCTCCAATCTTTTGGTGTTTCACATGGAGCCTTCTGGTTTATAAGAGCCATGTTTTTGTCACATTCTAGGTAAGAATGTCCTCTAATCGGAAATACCATTTTAATCATATCTAAACGCTTGGCTGTATGAACTACGTAGTGTATAAATCTAAACATACAATAGTTCTTATTCTGCCCACCACATGAATCACAGAATATTATTAACTCTCTGATATTCGCATTGAGTTCTGTAAAGATATAATGATGTAGGAAAGAACACACTTCATCTGCTCCTTTTTTAGCAATGGTCTCATCGTAGCAAAAAAAATAGGAATCTGAGGAAGCCAAGACATGAATGTTAAATAAATTGAAGGTAAGCTGTCTCTTATAGTAGGTCTCATTAGAAGTTATGTTAGGCATGCTGAAATTCTTTTGATAATCCATGGCGATAGCTTCTCTTGTAGAAGATGATTGACAATAAATTCTAGTTTCTCTTTTTCTGCGATAGAATACCTCGGCTTTTAACTTGTGTACTTTATTTTCAGTTTCTAAATCTCTAATCTTTTTTTCAATAACACCCTTTTCTTCACTATTAAATGCATTCTTTAGACTGCAAACTTCTAAGCCTTTCAATTTAGCCTTAAACTCGTCACAATTTCCACAAGTATCTGACCTCGGGTAACCAAAACCAATATTAAAGTTATTTACAAAAAGAGTTCTGTATGACTCATAAGACAATGAATCTTTGTATTGAAACATATTGTACATTTTTTTTACGTTTAAATCTTCTGAAAGATATAGTTTCGAGGATTCGTGTAGACTATAATGACTTTTACGGCCACGAAATGACCTAATGTGCTCCATTGCTTTATTTTTTATATCTTCTGTGAGTTTCCTCGGCCGGTTACTGTGCTTGCCTTGCCTGTCTAATGGGGCATGTCCAATCTCTTGCAAAGACTTCTTCAGGGTTTTTAACCTTTGTTGGGTAATGCCATGTATAGCCATGAATGCCTTAAAACTAATTGGAACATCTATCGTTTGATTATTGCTAGTGATTCTAACCCGGTAGGCATAAGTTGCTGAATGTAAATTTGCATCGCCTTCGTCTTTTTTTGGACGCCTTCTTTGTACCTCGTAAACTGTGATGAGACCACGTAAATACAAATTTTGTGCATCACGAGTTGGCAGGAGATTAAAATCTCTTAAAATATTGTTTCTTTGTTCTGGGTTTACAACTTGAAAACACTTGTACCTTTTACAGTAACAATTTTCACCCGCTTCATGACTTCGAAGGTTTAGCTTCTTGTTAACTTCTGAAATTCGACCAAAAGTCTTCCTCTTTTTACTGGACCTTTCACACCTTAAAACATTACACTCTTCGTCTAACATTTTTCGTAAAAACTCACAAATCAAATAATTCGACAGGAATGCTTAAACAATAACGATTGGAAAGAAAAATAACCTAAAAGTGTCACTGTCATATTATAAAAGAGTTAATTAAACGCGATCAAATCCATTAAAACCAGTTTAATTCAATGTGTTGTGTTCGTGTAAACATAAATCATCATAAACTTTTTCAGATAATTAATAGAATCAGGCGTTACTTTGCGGAAATCCATTATATTAAAGTTGGTAAAAATTATCTTGCGTACATCCGCACGATAAAATAAAATGTGTCCTTACCTAGTTTGAAGAGCACCTCCCGCCCTCCCTCAATTGCGTGCACTATCACCGTCACCACTAATCCCAGCACCACTACTCTCAACACCACTACACTAGGAAAGATATACCACTTACGACAATACGACAAGTGTTGCGCCTCTACACGAGGCATCTTCAGGTGATGTAGACTCTGCGATGGCTGACCGATAAGTGAGCGGCGAGTCAAAACAACTGCCATTTATACAGCCCGCTGACGCAACCGCTCCACAGTTAAATAGCGAGCGACTGCGTTATGCGATAAAACATGCGACCAATCAAAGCCTAGCGCACGCAGCCGTTTGTAAATTAAAAACTAAAAACAACCCGCCGCGTAACGCCCGCCTACCCTCCCACCACGCAACCAATCGCCGATCACAGTGAGCTCGAGAAACGACTATATTGCGAGGCTGTCTGTCTGTTAGATAGCAGGCTTAAAGATATTCCGATACGCAGGTGGAGATGGAGGCCGTGGAGGGGGGCGTGCCTTGTATTCCTGGTGGGCCTTGCCTGAGAGGGAGAGTGGGGAGGAGAGGTTCTCCTCCGAGAAGGGGCCGTCATGGCGCGGCCGGCGCTGGTGGGAACGCAGATGTGTGCGAAAGCGTTCCCGTGGCCCTGCCAATATGCGGCGAAGGTGGAACACCATGGGGTTTTAGTCGGTGCGATTCCGACATAACCCGTCCTTGCCCCAGTGAGGTGGGTATGCGTAGGCATTTCCCCATGTAAAAAAAAGGCTTAAGGATATTTAAAAGAGGTGTGTTAGAAATATAAGATTGTTCATTCAGCAGTGCAACGTTATTATTTGACTGATAAATTACCTATTCTGAACCCATGTTCTTAAACTTTCAAATTTTCCAAACAACTGTCCATAAACAGATTGAACAGCCACGGGGAAGCTACGTAACCCTGTCTGACACCTTCAGGGATGCCAAACCAGTAGGCCCCTTTGATCTTCACACAAGCACAAGAGTAGCTATTAACAAACTTTAATGGTTGATACAGCCCTACGCTCAACCCAAACTAGGCCAGTGTTTGCCATAAAGATAAAAAGATACCCTGTCCACTTCGTCATAAGCTTTTTCTAAGTCCATACCTAAATGTAGGTACATAAATGTTTCTGGTTTATGGCCAAACACTTCTCTGTGACAATGCGCATAGAAAAGTCTTGATCCTGATATAGTCTTTTTTATGCGCATGATTCATTATTTGTAAGTTCTTTTTAAAAAAATATATGCACCAACATAAACGTAGATTTATATTATAGTATTTAATATGCATATAGTACTTACACAAGAACTGTCGATGTATTTCGAAAATTCTGCAATAGCTTCATTGTAGTAATCAGGGCATATATGATATGTATACTTTGATTCTATCATTTCTTTTAATTCATTTTCTCCGCCCAGAAATTGATCGTTGATTAGAACTGCAACCTGGTTCGACAAGCAATAAGCTAATCCACCATATTTAACTTTTAAGTCATTCCATACTTGAGGCCATTCAACTCCATTAACACCTGACAATTAATTACTAGCATATCAATAAAACGATTATAATTAACTTATAATTCACTAGCTTTTAAAAGTGACTTCGTCCGCGTAGAACTTAAAGAAAAACACCTGCTGATATACAGTAATTCTTTGGTTTTCTGGGACAATGTTTGGTCAAGAATTAAGCGGTAACTATTAGAATTGATATTTGCCTCTTAATCAATCGGGTGTCGGCTAACAGATATAGCCTTAATTAATCGAAACATGTTTCAGAAGTTTGTGAGTGTAATTAACAATAATTGGAGTAATGGTCTTAATAATAATTGAACTATTTGACTTTTGACTTGGCCAGATTTTAATAACTGTTTCCCAGAGAACTGGACCGGCAGAGACGGACCCATCCCTTCGCCACCTCGATCGCCTGATTTAACTCCAGTGGATTTTTTCGTTTGGGGACGGGCCAAGGAGCTCGTCTACACGCATGTGGAAATATCAACCAGAGAGAAGTTAATAGGAAGAATCCATAAGACTTTTCAAGATATGAAGCAGGGGATGAAAATGAAAATTACGACCATAGAAATGAGAAGACGAACCCGCGCTTGTGTCAGAAAAGTTGAGTTGAGAAATAATTATTATTGAAAAACCACTTTAAACGCAGTTTCTTCGCGATTTTCTTCTATGTTCTATGTTCGCTATGGGAAAATGTTTAAAATAAAAATCTAATATATAATGATTTTACGTAAAGGTCTTTTCCTTGTATCCTGTAACACTCATAAGTTTTTTATAAAACGGCGATGAAGTAAAAAAAATGTTCCGAATTCGATTTTGAATCAAAAGTGATGAGATGAGAAGTTGTGAGTACTTTACCTTTACCAAAAAAAAAAAAATTCTATGACATTTTTATATCTCTTGTAATTTAAGACATAATCATAAGCCATTATTTTATCAGTTTATCGATTACACAAAAAATTCTCCGTTTTTCGGTTAAAATATAGTCTAGATTTCTCCTGGCATCGCTCCTTATCTGTTCCTAAAGTTTCTAATAAAATGTAGATAGTTGTCAAATAGAAGTGACGTTCGTCATCCCATGGATTTCGTAAGAGGTGAGAGGTGACCAGGACCGCATTAACCATGTTGGGGCCCTTAGGCAATGGAATTCTCGGGGCCCCTTTGCAGCCAGCATAAAGGGATGTGAATAGCATCACCGGATTGATGCTAAACTCCTCAGAAACTTATAGTAAAAGATTTGTATTTGGGCTTATTGAAATTGTCTTAATGAATAGGTTATAGATAAGTGATGATCCAGATCTCATTAGGTAAAGTGTGTATATGAGATAAGATCATCTAATTATGGAGCAAGAAAGAAAAATAAGACGGGGTGTTTTAATTTTAATTTTATTCTTGGTAAATGCAATTAAATATAATGTACGAAAGAAAATAGTTTTGTTCTACTACTCGATACTGTTCTGTTCTGTTAGTATGAAGTATTTCATCAACTGACAGTATGCGTCGCTAAAACGGAATAATACCTATTGTCACTGAGGTAACAAATTTTCCAATTAAATTTTCTCTGTATGAAACATTTTCCATTATATTTGTGCGCGCACGGGGCCCCTATCCGATGCGGCACCCCTAGGCAGTTGCCTACTCTGCTTAATAGTTAATCTGGCCCTGGAGGTGACTCTGGGAAAAGACATCGATACCATGGCCCTCGAAGGATAGTGGTTAACCACGTATATGGCAGATTCTAAATACCCCAATCAGCAACGAGGAACAGCGTAAAAAGAGTGACATATTCGTCGCTGCGATCGTCAATCTTTTTAACAAGTGTGGCGGTCAAGACATATTATTCGTACAATGACTATAATTGACGGTGTAGTGGTGGTGTATTTCACTACCCCCTATTGTCCCGTAGGTGTCGTATGAGACGTCAAAGGGAAACATATTATGATGGGATATCTAAGCACAGCGCAGCTCTCCCCTATGAGGTGATCAATGGGGGAAGCCTATATCCAGCTTTGTACTGTAACTGAAAAAGTAACCAATATAAAAATGCAATCCGTTACTTCAAATAGAAACCACAAAGTGGTTTGCAAAGTAATGTTAATGCGGCGCTGGCACCTAAAACTGAATCCAGGTTTATCGCGCGCATTGAAATTTAAGTGCACCCGGCTATGAGCAAGTAAAGTTTAGATTATTCGACTTTAAGCTTTACTTAGGATATAATGTAACATATCAGATCATAATGCCACGTGCTTTGGATTCAAGAGGATTCATGTTAAATAAAAGTGAAAGTGAAATACCATAAGATTAAAATTCTAGGACATGGGTTAGTAATTATAACGTTTCTTGATGTAGGTAGATACCTCGAATGGTAGGAGCATCAAAATATTTTCTTCTATACTTATAAACACCTTTTACCAATTTCACACAATAAATGAATTCATCTGTAACCCTATTACCAATTACAGTAAATTTAACAAGATTTATATTCTTTTCTGATGTTTTCGGCATTGTTTGTCTATAATGGGGATTGTTTACAGAATTATGTGCATATTTCATGTAGGATGAAAATTCGTCCTTTATTGTTGCTTCCCAAGGATGTCTTGTAACATTTTTCCTTTTAATTGGCATTTCATTTTGATATAACGTCATTCCTATAATATTTATCTGAGTAATATTATATTAATAAAGACAGGAAAGGCCATGAAAATAAAAACCCGTAGATAAATAGATGTGTAGCAAGCTAATAAAACCAAATAAAACCAACATGAAGCAAATTATTTTAATCACAGAACACCGTAAATCACAGACTACTAAGAGGGATACCCTAGGTAGATTAATATATTTAATTTATAATAAATATTACGCCAGTATATATTCTAAGTATAATTAAGGAGTATATAATCACTACGTTTTATTTATAATTTTCTGTTTCAGCATAGTAAACATATATAGCTGATATATACTGTAGTTTCAGTCTCAGACATTCTGAGATGAACTACATACAACTTTATAATTTGTGATGAACTATAGGAAGATCTGAGGTTTCGAAATATGTGTATTGCATAGAGCATCCTGATACAGAACTGTCTGTCATTTTATGCAAGGGGAAATCTGCGCACACAAAAACAATTGTCTGACACTACGAAACTTACACAACAATTAAATAACAATTTCACACACACACGCACGCACAGATTCATTATAATAGTATCGCTCAGTGACAGTGACAACTCAGATACAGACTAGGAACAGTCGCTTGACCAATCTGCATATTGTACGAGGACGAGCAGCCTGTATTGGTAAACAAATCCGAAACAACACGACCGTTATTATTGTAAGTTTTCATTTTAAAAAGAAGTAAATAGCAATAATGTGATTAAAAAAACAGAGACAGTCCTAAGGACTGCCGACAGAAGTGAAAACTCAATGATATATACATTACAAATATATCCACAGGCCGCTATACTAAGTAGTAGACATGCTCGTGACGTATTGCGTCACGAACATGCCGAGGATGTCGCTGATGCGAACCTATAATTTTTTCCCCTACCAGAATTCGCTCAGCGCAGCTAAAGAAGTTTTCAGTTCAAAAATTACTGATTCGTATATAATATTATACTTTTAACTGAACAATTCGACATTTTTGTAGGACGTAGATTCAGCCACGCAACTAAATTTATTCTAGTGAGCAGTGCGGCTGCAACTAGTTTTATTGTACGCATAGGACCGCGTGGACTTCTATTTTGACAGAAGGGAACGCCTACGTATGGCTACGATACCCTCCGATTGATCTATGGTGTATTGTCTTCGACAATAAACAAAGAGACAAAACTAATTACTCTTTTTTTTGGTGAACCAATTTCGATGATTCTTTTTTTTTATATGAAAGTTTGTGCTTCTCATGTGGTTCTGGTTTGAGTTATAACTAATAACTTATATTGAACGATTGTACAATTTTTTTTTTAATTTTTAATCATGTGTACTTAATGTCTGCGCATGTGCTCTCTTAGTAGAAACGATGCACAGACTACTAAAAACGATGTAACATGAGTGAATCAATATAGTTGCGTATAGACGACTTGACAGTCCGAATAAGAGTGACTTTTGATTTGTCATTGTTTGCTTTAGATAGTGATGTACATTTTTTCATACATAAGACTATCGAAATATGATTGTTAAGAAAGCGGTAAAAAGACTAAAAAAATAGTTTAGAGCACGAAACTGAATAACTTTAAAAATTAACTGAATGTTTAACAAGATATTCTAAAATAATTTAAAAAAGTCATATAACATGTTCCCGAGTATAACCAGCACCTACCTGCATTTTTTTGATTTTAATTCAAAATGTACATAATTCCAATAATCTCTGAAGAGGTGAGTATACCGAATAAACTTAAACAATTTTACCCAAGAATCAGATCGGAAAATTGTATTTTCGAGCAATGACCTTTAGAAAGACATATTTACTGCCATGTACAGTTTCCTCGGAATTTATTTTATAATATTATGTTAAACAAATATAAATAGGTAGATGCATAATTAAGTAAATACCTATTTGTATTTTATAATGGCTGCTTTGTTTTTCATATTTTAAGTATTACTTTTAATAATTACAAACATTTAATAGAATAGAATAGAATAGAATGATTTTTATTCAATATGGACTATCACATTATACTTATTGAAAGTCATTATTTTATTTACCACTGGTTCGGAAAATACCTCTGTCCTGGGAAGAGCCAGCAAGAAACCCAGCGGGACTTTTTTTAACATAATTTCACTTAACAATAATTTTGTTTATACAATTTTAAATGAATTTTCATAGAACCAGCATGGTGGCGATCAACTTATTCCCAGGGGTTATTTTCATTCATGTATTCCTTGATATTATAATAACCCTTTTTGTACAGTTTTTCTTTAATGAAATTTTAAACTTGTTTATTGACAACCTTTGAACATGTTCTGGGATTTTGTTATAAAAGCGTATACATTGCCCCATAAATGAATTACTAATTCTGTGGAGTCTAGTAACTGGCATTACAAGGTTATGTTTGTTCCTAGTGTTTAAGGTATGAACATCCTTATTCTTATTAAAGCTATTTATGTTTTTATGTACATACATTACATTTTGATAAATATATTGCGATGCCAAAGTTAATATGTTTATTTCTTTAAATTTTTCTCTAAGGGACTTTTGACAATTTTGATTATAAATCGCCCGTACGGCTCTCTTTTGCAAAACAAATATAGCTTCAATATCAGTAGCATTACCCCATAGCAAAATTCCATAAGACATTACGCTATGAAAGTAACTAAAATACACTAACCTAGCTGTCTCAACATCTGTGAGACTTCTAATCTTTCTTACAGCATATGCTGCAGAACTAAGTCTGCTTGCTAATTTAGATATATGGGGGCCCCATTGAAGTTTCGCGTCAATAGTAATACGAAGAAAAACAGTGGTATCCACAAAACTCAACTCCTCCCCATTTTAGAGCACATTGGTTTTATAATTAATAATTAAATACATTATATAATAAAATGAAACTAATTTTTACGGATTCTATCGCGTTTAATTTAACTTTTTAATTGCAGACGTTTAGGGTGCTTTACAGGACCCATGGTCACGGGAGGTTTTTTCCTTGAATGTACTACAGTTTTGTAATATATAAAAATATATCTCTTTTTTATCTAAAGTTTTGAAGTTAAATGTTTGAAGTCTAATTATAATAATATTTACATATTGGTACAAATAATGTAGAAATGACAACTTTTAATAAAATTGTTTTTATTCTACTTTTTCTTTTATACTTCTTAAGAAAATATTTGCTGCAAATTGTTGAGTTCTTCTTTGGATTAATACCTACCAGCCAAATTAAACTTAACCATTTTTTTTCTAATTATAGAATCCGGAGGAAATCTGTTTGACAAACGGCAAAATAAAATAATATTCTTAGCATTTATTAACTTCCTTCTGCGTAGCATTGAAAGGAAGTTAATGGTTTTAGCTGGCAGTCTGTTAGTCTGTATGCCGACACGATAACTCCCGTTCCACTGGACCGATTGACTTTAAATTTGGTATGTGGATACCTTGAGGTAGTAGCTCGGTCGAGTTTGAATTTAGGTCCTGTAGGTCAAAGGGCACCAGAGATATAGGATTCACGCAGAAGGAAGTTGTTTTTCTTGAATTTACATTCAACTCGTTTTCATTGCTCTTCTTGTTGTGTGGGCTAGTCTATCGATTCATTATAAAAATTCAAGACAAATATCGACATTAATTTTGATATAGTTGAGTCAATCCCTTGCGTATATTATGTAAAATATTTTGTATAAAAATATTTTTACCATATCGAATAAAAATAATAGTATAATACTCTAAAAATTATAAATTACCTAGGAGCTTATTTCTTGCGTGCCAAATTGTGCCAACCTATCATTCAAAAACGGTTATAAAGTCATAAGATTTGATATCCTTTTCTAATTTGCTATATTGCCTTATGGAACTTGCACACTATGTCCGTCTATTAATATCCTAAGTGTATGGATTCGATGGTAATCTATATTTTTCATCTTTTTTATTCGCTTAGGGGTTTTGACAATCCGCTGGGTAATGTGATGCATCAGCATATTGTTAAAAGTATTGTGAACATAATTTACAAACTAGACTAGGCCTGAGGTATGGTCAGAGACCTTTGCCTTCCGTTAATGGTGCATCGTAACAACAATTATAACTATCAGGTGTTAGCTGTCAAATTGACATAATTTTGTTTATATGTTATATTGTAAAGGGTATAATCGATTTCAATATGGTTTAATATTTCATTTAATTTAAAAATGTAACTGTTGCAGTGCTAGAATTAAACCAAATTTATTATTAGAGTTTTAAGAGATATCTACTTAAACAGTTTTCCTAATACAGGACTATTATAAAGGCCATTAATGATGGATACAAGTCCATCAGAGCGTTTTTCAAAACTTTCGGAAGAATTATGCAGTCTTCTCTCTGTTAAACTACGCAGTAAGGAAAATCTAAACGTAGTTATAGATGAATTAAATGCTTTACCTTATAAGGCTGAATTATTTATTCGTAAACATGTAAGTATATTTTACCGAATCCATTACTTTCACAATACATTCCTTTTTCATTATTGGTTATCTTTTTTATTATTTATATTATACAGATATTAAATATTAAAATTAAACCAAAATATTTTTAGGCTAAGTAACTAAAGTTTTACTAGATAGAGTCTTACCTACAAGTAGTTAGGTGATAAAACCAATTTTTTAAATTTCAGGAAGCTGGTGCATTAATCAATGTATTGTGCTTCAATGTAAATCCAGTAGATGAATCCCTTACAGCAAAGACTTCACATTTAATAAATAGCATCCTTATTAAGCAAAACATACAGTTCAGTAGTGAATTTTTGTGGAAAGTCATATCATGGCATATTGAATGTTTGAAGAAATGTTCTGAATTTATTTTGCCTGACATATTACACAATTTGCAATGTATTATGCAATCAAATCTGCAAGCAACCCATAAGGTATTTAATATGATTATTTAATATAAGTAGTAATAAATTAGTTAATAAAGAAACATGCGTAAGTGTTGTGGAACACTTGGTTGGAATGAAGTTCCTTGCATAGTATATTATTATTGATAAACGTATTATATTATTGATTAACAAATACAAAACATACAAATAAATAAATTCTAAAGCGAAAAATTCTAAGCATCTATTAAAAAGTGCCATTTAAAATAAAATAATATTTCTTTCAATGATGATTTGAGATGGATATTATTCCATCTCGCTTTCTTATAGCCGCCATGGCCGTCTACACGACGTCAGAAGGGGTTGTAACTGAAAAATCTCACACTTTTTCTTGTCTAGCCCCCATCCGGCAAGTTTCTACCGTCGGATAAGGAACTTTGTTCCAAAAAGTTCATGTAATTGTGTTGTATATTATTTTCTCTATACTGACTTTGATGATTTTTAAACTATAGAGTATTTATTCATAATAGTTCATAATAGTGCTGCTTTTGATGGCAGAATTTCTTTCACCATTCTACTACTAAAGAAAAATGTTAGAAGCTATTTTTATAAAGTGAAAGTGAAAATATTAATGCAGTAAATTAATACAGTATATAATTAATATTTTAAATAAAAGTTATGTGATTATTCTAAAAAATTACATAAGTATTATTTTCCATAAGTTAATTGTTCACTTTAATGAAAAAAACATTGTTCATTTGTTATATAGAAGCATGTCTATATTTTAATTAGTACTGCCTAATGACCACAGATTATTCTATGACTTGACAGAAAAACAGGATTTCTTAAAAAAAAAACAATTCATTGTTTTCGCCCACACAATATACATATGGCCTTATTAAATAATGTGATTTATTGATAGACTTAAGTTTAAGATATGGTTTAAAAAGAGTCTTCTTCACAAAGTCTTCTGCCCTTTCCGATCGGCTCGATTCATTGGCACTGCGAAGAGATGTTGCATCCCTTTGCATTTTCTTTCGCATCTACCATGGGGAGTGCTCTGAGGAATTGTTCGGATTAATCCCAGCCGCCAAATTTCATGAACGCACATCGCGGCAGAACTCCCGATACCATCCACACCATCTGGATGATTGGCGGTCCACCACTGTGCGATTTAGAAGATGTTTTCTTCCTCGCACGACTTCCTTGTGGAATCGATTACCATAAGCAATTTTTCCGGATTGATACGACTTGGGACCTTCAAGAAAAGAGCGTACTCCTTTTTAAAAGGCCGGCAACGCATCTGCAATTCCCTCCCTGGTGTTGCAGTTGTTCATGGACGGCGGTAGTCACTTACCATCAGGTGAGCCGCATGCTCGTTTGGGCCCTCTCCTATAAAAAAAATGCTTCTTCATCTTGGTCCTCAGGGGTGGCAACATAATAATCAAGAATAGATGTAGATGTCTATGAGCCACAGCATTCACCTACCTACCAGCATACCCCTTAGTGGCCATTTTAGTTTACATATTTTCTTTGGGACTTCTTTATTCAAAGAGGCTCAGAATAAATCTAAAACTAATTATAAACTAATTTTTGTAATAAGAAGGAAAGAGTTTTAATAAAACCCGGTTGTTCTCCTCATTTTAGTTGTGGTGTATTTTTTTTACATAAATTACCCTATTTAAAAAAGAAATGTTTGCTGTTAAATGTAAAATTCTAGTTATCACAGGCATACAAGCGTGATATCTTTAATTTGTTTTTACTTACTATCCTCGAAAAGTATTTATTCTTGGAGCAATTTTGCATTAATCTATTATTTAGTAGTGCATGTGGTAGAGGCATACTGCAGCAATAAAAAAAAAAACAAACAACTGTATTGGCTTAACCAAAGAAGGACCACAGTCTCACATATTACCAGTGTAAAATAACAGCTTAATGCTGCTGTGTTTCGTATGGTGAGTGTAGAGAACTATAAACCCTTTTCACTGGAAATGAGGCATTACTTCTAAGTCTTCAGTGCTGACAACAGGTCTACATTTTGATTCTTAATCAAGTCAATCAATGTAGATTAGCTTATATAGTAATTGATGTTTATATTGAGAAAAAAAAATTTGGATCATTCCACTTTTTTATACCTAAGCCTTTTTTGTTATTGCTGTATAAATTATATTTTTCTTAATCACAGTTTGCAGAGGCATTAATTGGTAAACAAGGAATCCTTATAAATATCCTCAGTGTAGATAAAAGTTACCAGTTAAGCACACATAGTCCTTTTCAAATATGCTTACCAGCATTGAAATGTATTTCGTGCCTAATTACAACATTAGATGAAAACAATTCAATGGATCAACAGTATTTTTCAACAACTGATATAAAAGGACATATTTCTGAAGTAGTTATAAGATTTCTTATGAGAGGTTTGACAAAGTCACAAGATGAATTTTTGTATTGCAAAGTAAGTTGGCAAGTCATTTATTGTTTGTTATTTATTTATTACTTGTAGTTTTATTTGATTAAATATAATATGAATCAATTAGTTCTTAATTCATTTTGATATTCTTTTTCTAGGTGGTAATATCAGCATTGAGAGTTTTATCACATCTATACTTCAGTGATCACAATGTAAATTTTTCATTGCCTGAGGTTGTAGGTATTTGTAGACATTTTATATTGTATGGATTGGTTAACCAGAATTCTAAACCTGAACGACTTATGCCATCACAACAGACAATTGCTGCAGTACCAATGAAAATGGCTCCAAAAGGTGGAAAGGTAATCATGTTGCCATTTTAATATTAGCTAATGTTACATTTGCATGAAGTGGTGGTACATAAGAAAATAAATGCTAACCACATTTTTTCATGGGTGCCACGAAAGTTAACTAAGGGAAATGCTGCAATAATCTGATAAGATGAGTTGTTATTCGATGATGAATTCGCTCTAACATATGTATCTAAGTTGTGATTTACGTCAGTAGTACCTTAGAATTGTTTTAGATCTTTGATGTTATTAGCAAGGTGCTAACAGTCTATTTTACATACCATTTCTGAGAGGGTTATGGAGCGATTACTTGGCCATGCTGCTCCAGTGTGTGTCTGTTCACATGTCATTAGACATTTTCCACATGTTTTTTTTCATGTATCATGCGTGTGGCCAGGAATAATGCAATTATTCAAGCCAAGAAATCTCCCTGAAGAAATTCAACAGTCCCTTGATGTTGCGACCAACTTCAGTAAGTGATCCCAGTGTGCCGAGATGTTTAGCCCTGTATGCTGCCACTTCCGGACATGTCAGCAACACATGAGCTGCCGTTTCTTCCTCCCCCATACATGCCCTGCACAGGGGACTATCTGTAACAACTATGGTAAATAAATGTTTGTTAAAGGAACCATGTCCTTCGGTAGCACTTGTTACTATTCTGATCTGTGATTTGTTCAAACTCATTAGAACCTTGGTTAAACGACTGTTTATTTCAGGCAGGGCGTCCCTAGCTTGTCTACAGTCTACTAAATTTTCCAAAGCTGAGCGTGTTGGCTAGTGAAGTTTTTACGTACCAGTGAATGAATGTTACCAAAGGGGATTGGTATGATTGGTTCTGGCACTATAGTGGCCAGTACCGATGAGGATCGGAGGACGCAGCAGACGAACTGACCAGGAGAGGTCCTGGTCAGTTCGTCTGCTGCGTCGTTGCCCCTGGATCCACTGTGTTCCTTTATCCATTGCAGAGTCACATTGTTGTATTTACATATCTCATTTATTTGTTGATGGCATTCATATATTATTAGTCCGTAGTTTACCACATTGCAAGTCAGAGCTTGTAGCGACGGAGGGAAATGCATCTGGAGATGGGCAGCAGCAGCATCTTCTTAATAACGACTAAAAGTAAAAAACTGCGGTTGCCAACCCACTTGCCAAGAGTGGTAACTATTTCAAATATCCCCCCTATGAGGCAATCTATTGGGATCTTTAATAGGCTGTAACGGTGACGGTATGGCTCAACTTGGGAAAGACCACACTTTCACAGTATACCAATATAAAATAGCAGCTTAAAGCTACTGTGTTTCATATAGTAAGTGTAGAAACCTGGAGACCCTTTTTACTGGTAATTCTATATTAGCAGTAAGGGGTGACAAGGTACCTAAATTTTGATTTTAAGCAAAAATAAATGTGTCTACAGATCACAGCTTTCATTTACCATCAGATGGACAGTATGCTTGCTCACCCTCATTCTATGAAAAATGTTTTATAAAATACTTAATTCAAGAATCTACTTTAAATTAATTGCTAATATGTTAGTATATTGTGTTTGTGTATAATTGTATAATACCTTTATACCATTAGATTATATTATTTTACTCTATAATTTCCAAAATTTATAGAAACAAAAATTAAGAAAACAAAGAAATAACGCCATTGAAAGCTTGAGGAAAGAAATACCGGTATCAGATCACAGTTTGATGAAGGATGTTGATAATTTCGAAAACAATTCTGCATATAAGCCAATCTCAAAAAATTATTTGGAGCCACAAAAGACCAGAAACTGCTGGCTATTAACAAGTGATTCCGATATGTCAGATGTGGAAAATAGCAGAGAGGCTAAAATGATTGCACTCAAATCTAGAGTTAGACAAAGTGCAGCAAATTTATTTCTTGTATTGTTTAAGGTGAGTAATAATTGCGTAAATTGTAAATACACAACACACAAACACTCATGCCTGTCACCCAGAGGGGTGGGCAGAGACTATGGACTTCCATTTGGCGCGATCCTGACACACCTCTCTCGCCTCCTTTACATCCATATATCTACGCATACACGCTCGTCGGTTAAGGGTACTCCTGATCTGGCCCATTTTCAATGTATCGCCGATTTGGTAGATAAATCTTCGTCTAGGGCGTCCCTTCCCGACTCTGCCGTTCACTCCTCAAACGTAAATTTGTTTGTCACTCTTTCTTCGTTCATTCTTTCTACATGACCAAACCACCGAAGCATTCCTTTTTTAATCCTGGTCACTACGTCATCTTGCAAACCACAATTTTCTCTTATCATACTATTTCTCACCCTGTCATTCAAATTCAGCCCTAGCATACTCCTTAATGACTGCATTTCTACAGCATTTATTCTACTCTCATGCTTCTTCTGCCACACCCATCTTTCACTACCATACATTAAAGTAGGGTTTAACACATCATTATGCATTGCCATACGTGCCTTCTTTGACACATTCTGACTCTTCATAATAGCGTGCAGAGCCCCATTGACTCTATTTCCTGCGTTCACTCGTCGTTCTATATCCTTATCATATCTTCCATCCCTGCAAAATAAACATCCCAAATATGATGATGATGAGTTTGTACTCATCCACTTGCTCAATCAATTCTTCTCTTCTTCTTATTTCACATAACGTTTTACTTTCTTCTCTTTCAAAAACCATCACTTTTGTCTTACTTGCTTTCACTTTCATACCCCTTTCTTTTAATAGAATAGCATAGAATAGAATAATTTTTTATTCAATATTGATTATTACATAATACTTATTGAAAGTCATTTTTTATTTACCACTTGACCACATGACCAGTTCATTAAAGTAACCATCATTTGCAACTCAGCCGCCGACGATGCAAATATGACTTGATCATCGGCGTACAAAAGGCATTTGACGGTTAACTCACCCATTCTCAACCCACATTCTAATTGTAAATAGTTGAATTAAATGAGGTAGGCTTATGTTTAGTGACTCCGGAACTCCTCACTAAGCTTTTCTTCACCGGTTCACTGCAAGACATGTCATCATCATTCATCATTATAGCCCTTCACAAGTCCACTGCTGAACAAAGGTCTCCCCCAAGGAATGCCACAAAACATGGTCCTGAGCCACCTGCATCCGTTTCCACGAGCTTGTTATTCATATCATCCACTGTATTGCAATCTTCTAGTCACTGAAAACGGTTTTGTAGCTCGAGCTGAAAGATTTTGGGACTTTGGATTAGAGCACGAGGGGGACGGAGCGTTTACTTCATTAAAAGTGACCTCTCCAACGTAATGTTTAGGTTCAGTATGCCTCTCACCATTCGGTGATCGCTGCCAGTTTTCACCTTCGTGATCACTGAGATATCACTGAACAGTTGTCGTCTAGTCGTCATAATGAAGTCAATCTCATTTTTTGTCGAACCGTCGGGGCTCGACTAGGCCCACTTTCTCCATGAAGTCGGCCAGCTGCTAGCCCCTTGGGTTCCGTTGCCCTATTCCAAATTTCCCTTCCTTCAGCTCACCGTTCTCTCTTGTGCCTAGTTTTGCGTTGAAGTCTCCCATTAACACCGTGTAGTGGGTTTTGGAGGAATGCATGGCTCTAGATATATCCTCATACATTTTCTTTTCTTCAGCGAATACCGTTTGGTGATTCTGAGAATAAGGTACGCAACCCTTGTCGATACACTCTCAATCTTTACAACGTTGTTAACGAGAGACTTGTGGACGATAAATCCGACACCTCCTTGGGACAGATGGTCGCCATCCCGGTGATAGAACAAGTTGCCGGATTCGAGGATTACCATGTCCTCCCCCTCTCTTCGGACCTACCTATCACTTCCTCCAGCTCCAGGATCTTTTTGTCATTCCTCAGGGTGCGTGCGTTTTATGCTGCCAGGTTGAGTCGTCTTAGGTGGCAACCGAACCTCCACCGGAGATTCTTAGCACCACCTGCCCCGCCGTTACCATGGTCGCCACCGTAGCCAGGAATAGCGGGGCCGCCGGGGTCCGGGGGCCGTCTCTTTGTAATTTTAATCATGGGGGGTATATTACCATAGTTGCCACGCTTGGCGTGCGGGTTGGCAACCGCAGTTTTATTGTTGTTTTGCTGTTATCAGAAAGATGCTGCTGCCCATCTTCTGCCTCAGTTTCCCTCTTTCGCTTCTTACGACACCAACAGGAAGATAGTGGGTATTCTTACCCGTCACTACACGGCAAGACATGTGGTGAGTAAGTATTTTAAAACGCCATTATAAGTTTAATTGGTGCTAATAGAGATCGGTAGAGAATCCACTACCCCATATCATGTCGTGAGTGTCATAAGAGGCGACATAGGAGAATCAAACAGCAGATGAGCCGCAGCATCTTCTTGATAACAACCCAAAATAGTAAAAAACTGCCATTGCCAACTCGCCTGTCAAGAGTGGCATCTATAGCACAATTCCCCCCCCCCCCCCCCTCCCCCCACGCGGTAATCTATGAGGGAGGCTAGCTGTGGACTTTTGATAGGTTGTAATGATGATGATGAATCATTCAATATCGATACAATTAGTAAAACATGTTTTTAAGGCACGAGTTTTATACATACTTAACAGTTTATTTTTAGGTTAAAGATAAGAAAGATATCTTTGGATACTGGTGGGCTCTACTCCCGGATTCCCCCGATGCCAACAATTGGCATGCAGATCAGAATGCAAAAAAGACTCTTGCCTATTGTGCTGTTACAGACCCAATAGCTAGTAGCCGGGCAAGTGCACTCAGTGTAATATTGGCACTGCTTTCTGGTTCAAGAATGTATTTGGCTCAAGCCGAAGTAAGGTAAACAATTTTTTCATTACGATTTGGGTCATCATTGATTCATGTGTCAGCCCGCAAAGTTCAGGGTTATGCTGGCACAATTTATCTTGCAGCAAATAAAAATGCCAAAAATCTCTTCGGGTATAGAATATATGGGTTTTTTAAAACATGACACGGGCCTTTTCCTTAATGTGGATAATTTGCTTTGTTACTGCACTGGTCTTACTTGGTTTTAAATCTGGCTAATCTTATAGCTTCCCTTTTGAAATTTAAAATCAACCATCGCAAATTGACCAATGTGTCGAAATGAGACGATAGATTTTATTAAGAATTTAAATCATTATAAGTTCGTAAATTGCGCATTTCTTGTTACAAGGTAAGAAACTGAAATTAAACAATGTTTTTTTTTTATATATAGAATAAGGGTAACAACACACAGACCACCAGATCGTAAGTAGAAGCTGTGGCCCATGCACATCTATATCTACTCTCGATTAAGAATTAAAATTCAGATTCATTGTCACCCCTGAGGACTAAAATGGAATGTCTCTTTTCCATTAAAAGGGTATCCGGTTCTCTACACTCACCATACAAAATACATAAGCAAAACACCAGGCTGTTATTTTACACTGATATTATGTGAGACCGTCGCCCTTCCCCGGTCCAGTCGACCCATTTGTGCTACCAATGTTAAATGGGACTTTCTTTTTAAATATAATAATATTTCGTTACAGCAAAAAGGATAATGTCTCGTTTATACCATTCTCAGTAACTTTGGGTTACATAATAACATGTATGCACAAAATACTTACTGGTATTTTAGACAACGAGAGAAGTCACGCCGTAATCATAGTGACCCTGAAATGCTGCGCCGCGTTAGTGCAAGCCACTCCTTATCACAAAGTACAGGAAGGACTAATTACTGATTTGGTTAGATCTACGAGAAAGTATTTGGTCCATAGAGGTAAGAAATATATTTTCATATTATACAGTTACAATACATAACGTTAGTAAACCCTTGATTAAGACCGTTTATATTGTTGCGCGCCACTATTAATGTCTTGTACATGGCAACACTAGTTACACTAGCGCCCTCTAGTGTCGAGTAGCAGAACTAGGAGAGTCAAGATCCTTCCAGAAATTTCGGGACCGATATGTACTCGAACATTCTAGATGTCGCTACAGTAGAAGGTTCTGGAAACTGTCTGAGGCCCTATATAAGGCCGGTATAGACCACGACCGAACCGAGGCAGTATTGAATTGGCGATACAAGAGAATACTTCGAAGCGAAATAACGGCGAACTGTGTTTTATTATTAGTGTGATTTTAAGTTGTAATTAGTTTTGTGTAATTAAATAGTCAATTTTGGTAATTCACTCGGCAGTTTTTAATTATCTCGAATCCCAAGCTCGTAACAATATTAATATTTTATAAATTATTTTTAGACATAACATTACAAGTTGGAGCTCTAATTACAATTGGATGTGTCCTCTCTGTCGATCCAAAAGTCGATGAAATACTCAAAGCTATGGAAAAAGATACACTGCTAACTAAAACATCCTATGTAAATGAAGAAAGCAAACCCGACACTGAGGAGTGTGATGATTTTGAAGAAGGATATTCCGACGATGATATATTTGTCGCCGTTGATGGTGAAACAACAAAAAACAAAGAGATTAAAGACAATGATAAACTCAAAATACGAAGCTGTTTTAAAAGTTGGATCTTAGACATTTGCTTTAAAAATATTGGTTGGCTGTTCAAAGGCGAAGAAATAATGGTAAGAAATTAGTTTGTGAATATATTATAACAATTGGTTTTTATTAATATATGTAATTTTAGGGATTTTGAATTTTTATTATATTACATATATATATATATATATTATAATATAACAGTGGTAGAGCTGTCGCACGGATGGGCCGGCTCAAACCGGGGTGGTACCACGACCTCACAGAATACCAGCCTGAAGTAGAGGTTTACCTCTGCGTTTCGCTTGGTGAGTGCAGGTATCCGGAGGCCCTTTTTACTGGAAATGAGGCATTCTATCCTAGACCTCACGCGTGAAAACGCATCTGCATTTATAGATGTAGATGTCTATGGGCCGCAGCAACCACTTACCATCAGTTGGACTGTGTGCTCGTTTGTCACCCTTATCCTATAAAAAAAATACATTCTAGTTAAAATTGGTTTTTCACTAGTGCAAAATTTTTGCTATAACTAAATTTATTGGATTATTAATAAAATGTACAAGAGAAGTTAGGCCATATCTTAATTCTGAGTAAATATGTAAGGCGACTTAAATTATCATCGGATGTTGTTGCAATTAGTGGTCCCGCTACGACTGTTTCTACCGGTAAATAAAACAATCGAATAAATTGATTATCTAACTACGAAGATATTGCATATCATATATGATAATATACGAGTTCAAAAAATAAAGTTGAATTGATGAATCTTCTCTTTTTGTAAAGTTAGTTAAAAATAAATTGCAAGCAAAAGTATGACGCAAACCTTTTTTAAAGCAAGCGATCGATTTTGTTGTTTTGATGTTACATGTTGGTAGTCGTTGGTCGCTCCAATTGTTCTAAAAAATATGTTCTTTACAGAGATGTAACCCATCAGCAATTCCAATAATTCTTGAATCTCTACAAGTACTGTCGGCCATTGCTTTCCACCACCTGTCCGAACTGTTGAAGCCTCACGTTACATTGCTGGCGGACGTTCTGTGTGAGCTGTTGCAACACGAACACCATGATGTGGTGTTGCAAGCTGCGAGGACAGTCAGTGTTATTGCTGATGGCATTCAAAAATTGGGTGAGTTTATTTGTTATGTTCTACTCTATGACTTAATGGAGGTAACATAGAATGTTGTTCTGATTTTTAGACTGAAGATTAGAAATATTGTTTTGTCATTTTGGTATACTAATGTTAGTATATATTTGTCTTGGTTCTCTCTTGTCTCTTGTTTTGGGTGGATCACGAGGAAATTTTTGAATGAAAAATACCACTTAAGGGCCCTTTCTTATCTTCATTAATTTTAATTAGATAATATTAGAAAATAATTCCGAGAATATTTTCAGAATTATTTTAATAAATGAATATTTCTTGGCAAACTTTACAAATCATTCAAGGAACGGGAAACAGTCAGAAGTAAGTACAAGGTATTGCCAAAGTATGCAAGCTAACAGCAACTCTGCCCATCACTATGCGACATAGGGCAGCTTGTCTGAAACATTACCTTCTTTGCTTGTGCTAAAATAATTATCACTACGGACAGTAAACGACAATTATGAAGACTCGTAGAGGGATTTAAGCTAGTTGCCTGCGCAGTACTTTATACCATTTAAACGACTCACCTGTTATCTTTGTTAGTTACCTTCATTTATAACTCTAGATTTTTATCTCACAAACTCAAAGGAAGCTCAAACCAGGAAGAAGTACTAGCGCATTCTACCCTTATTCATAACAAGTTAAAATCGTTAAATGGACCCCGATACAGTAATAGTCACTGTAACCACACTATGAAACGGTCCAAAAATAACCCGAATCTAATTCCGCATGCAGATGTCCTAAATTTAAAAGAATGACCACCGAAATTGCCTCATTAATTTCTTGACTCGCAATAATATTTTAAATATGTATCAGATCTAAAGTAGGTACGGTATAGATGCTTTCGGAAGTATTGTGAGCGTCTGCGAGTTTTTGCAAAAGGTAACTGTTACGACAAATCCATGCAGTTCCATTGTTATCAGCTGTACTGTTAGCATATTTGAACGTTTTGCAATAATTTTGTCCATTTTTTTGTCCTTTAAGAGGCTAATTTTGAACATGTTCTAGATCGTCCCCGCCATTACATTAGATTTTATAGACCACAAATCCTCGCAAAAGAACACCGATTCCTACCAAGGATGATTCGCGAGGTTATTAAAATTAAAGAACATCCTAATTTCAATCGAGAACATGGATGGGTGCTGCCATCTGCTTGGGATCCTATCCTAATCCTAATTAATAAAATGAAATCCAAACCCAAGCATATCACTGCAAGAATTCAAGACTCTGTGCGTGTAAAACTTACTACAAGAAATACTATAAGCTCATTCTGCGTAGATCGGACCAAAAATTAATATTCAAAAACTGAAGGTATCTAGGTAGGTGACATCGGGACGTCAAACACCTCAATCCCCCCCCGTGACCATGGGTGTTGTAAATTATCCGAAACGTCGGGAATTAAAAAGTTAAATTAAACGCGATAAAATCGGTAAAAATTAGCTTCATTTAATGTGTAGTCTTCGCGTAAACATAAAAAATCATTATAAGAAATTTTAATAATGGAGTAACATTATATCAGTGGTGTAGAAACCTGCATACCTCCCTTCCTTAACTTACTTTAATCTGGTCAAATCTGAGAAATGGTTCTTACTGATACTTTTGATTAAATTTATAATGAAAACTATCATTTAATATTTAGGAAATTTTAGATTTAGTCTTGCGTTGCATAACACGTACTTGTATTTTATTTATATGATCATTAGTTTTTATCAGTTAGTTTATGTATTATGTATAGAGCCAATCTCCAGATTCAGTTACTGATTTAAGCATAAGGCTGCGTTGTATTTATGTTTTCGTAATATATTTTCTTTTTACAGAACAAATCGATCAATCTCCGCCACTAAACCAGTGCGTTTACATGTGGGAAAAGCTCCTAACACCGCTATCATTAGTGTTGCAATGCCACGATAATACAGCTGCGAAGGCAGTTGTCTGCGACTGTATTGCCAACATTGGCGAGAAACCTTTCAAGGAATTGCCAGTAAATATGAAATGGATTTTAATGTTATAATAAATATTTTGTAATCTTAAGTAATTAAATTATTTCTATGCACTACCAGCTTGTTAAATTAGGCTGCTGACGTCACTTAAAATAGCATTTCGTGAGTTTTGTTATTATTGATGGTTTGGGGTTTGGGGGTTTTTACATCTACCATATATGCATCTAGCATTTATAAGATATATAGTAAACTGTGTAGTGGTGGTGTAAGAATATTTTTTTATAAAAGAGGGGGCAATTTAGTCATGCAGATCTTTTTGAAATTTACCATAGCCTTATTTTTTATAAAACTGAACTTACAAACGAAGTTACAGTCTACTTGATAATAAGTAATTAAGTTTGCCCTTTCTTACCTTACTTATAAAGGTGATAACAATAGAGTTTAAACAGATGAATTAATAGTGGCTACTGCAGTCCATGGACTCGCAACCTGCGTCAAACGCAACGCTACAGGTGCGTTGTCACCTCTGAGGAATTTCATGGAATGCCTCATGGCATGTAATTATATTGGCTCTCTTACCCTTCATGCCGGAGCACGTAGGGGCGAGTACTGCTATTTGACGGTAGAAATAGGTACCTAGTAAGTCAAAAAGACGATGTAATTCGTGTTCATCTAATAATTACTATAATATATAGTGTTACGAGCTTGCGGTTCGAGACAATTAAAAACTGCCGATTGAATTACCAAAATGGACGCTTTAATTACAGAGTACTAATTACAACTTAAACCACACTAATAATAAAACACAATTATTCTACTGATCACATAAGTTCGCAGTTATATCGCTTCGAAGTATTCGCTTGTATCGCCAATTCAACAATGACTCGGTCTTTTTTTTTTTTTTCTGAAATAGTGTGCTGTTGGCCCTGCGGCCTTGACAGCTTCGTCTAATTAGGTTCGTAAGTGAGTACTTACGAACTATTGAGTGCAACGATTCTGCCGTCGGCGAGGCGGCGCGAAGCGCCGCTTCGCCGACAGCAGTCCCGAGGCACCCCGACCCCTGCTTTCGGAGTGAGGCTCCTCGAGCTAGGGGGGGGGGCTCGATGCGATTTAAGGGCCCCTCTGAAGGAGGTACGAACCTCGGCTTGAATCGCTATCGCAATTTTATTAACGAGTCGCAAAAGTTAGAAACGCCCCGTATCACGGGTGTTAAACCTCGTGTACGGAGTGTGTCTATGACGTCGCATTCGCCGGCGATTTCGGTGAGCCCTAGTGTTCTGTGCTAGAGTAGTGTCTGAGTGTGTGTAAGTGTTTATATTTACTAATCTAGTTCCCTCACCTGTGGAGGGGGGGGACGGGATCGACCTATTTATGGAAGTGATCTCATCATCGGGATCAAGGAGAACGTTCTTGGGACGTCTCCTGCTGGGGGCAACATCCCTCAGTGGGGAGTACGCGCCCGCCTCATTCACCAACGGATTTTCGTGTTCTTTAATCGACTCGAAGTAGAATGACTCGGTCGCGGTCTATACCGGCCTTATATAGGGCCTCAGGTAGTTTCCAGAACCTTCTACTATAGAAACATCTAGAATGTTCGAGTACATATCGGACTCTCCTAGTTCTGCTACTCGTTCTGGTAACTAGTGTTGCCATGTACAAGACATTAGTAGTGGCGCGCAACATTGTCCCCTCCTAAGACATGCTCGTCCCGAGCATTACTCGTACCATAATAACGCGCCAGTCCCAGCCAGTTTCCCTGCTGCTGTTGGGCGGTGCTGTTAGCCGCACTACCCTCTCGAGATCGGGCACCTCCCCTTTCTACAGTTCGCTTAGGGCAGCTGGATCGAAGATGGCCCCTTTCCCCACAGCCGTAGCACCTAGGGTTGTATCCTTTATTGCGGTCGCGAACTGTAGCTACTGCATCCTCCCTGACGCGATGGGAACGATGATCCTGCCGCACGGCTTCCACCTCCAGTGCATTGGCCAACGCGTCCTTAAGCGTCTCGTGGTGCCCGAGCCTCACAGCAGCTCTGACTTCAAGGTCGCGGATGCCGTCGATGAATGTCTGCACCAGGTTCCATACAATGAGCGCAGGTACAGACTGGTATGCTTTCCGAACCAGCTTCTCCACCTCAAGGGCCCACTGCCGCAGGTTTTCGTTGATGCGTTACGCGCGATCTTTGAGCTGCGCACGAAGGACGTGTTCCAGGTGAGCGTCGCCATATCTCGTCTCCAATGCCTCAAGGAGCTGCTCGTAAGTCACTTCCTTACCGAGAGCTTCCAGAACAGTTAAGGCCTGGTCACACAGGCCTAGGGCGAGAGCTGTCATGGCCTGACTTTTATTCCAACCGTTCGCCTTCATGATAGCCTCGAACTGGATTTTGTAGGCCGACCAGGAAGAAGTCCCGTCGAACGGTGGTACTTCGAATCCACGTAGCGAAGGTGTTGTAGCTACCACGGGAGCTGTAATTCCATCCCCAAGTTTGAGGTCGTCCAGCATTTTCTTCACGTCAGCCATAACGTTGTCAACCGGATTGTTCACTTGGTCGATTCGGGTTGCAGCTTCCGAAACTTATTCAACATGGAATATAACACAAAATAGAATTGCGTTTTCGTCGAGTGAAATGGTTGCAGTTTCTTATAACTAGGTAAGGACTGTTTTGTCTGTCTACGTTTGTAAACGGACGCGAAACCAAAGATGAACGTTAAGGACGACGACGCGACGCTTGAGATAGATAGGTGAATCATTGCATTCTCGACTGTATTTTCATAGGCGTAAAATTAAAAATCGCATCAAGTAATTCGAAGACTGGTTTGTGCAACGAAGAGTGTTTGAACCTAGGACGTAAAACGGTTTCATCGTCGCAGAACACAAAACGATCTTTGTAAACGGTTCGTCGTCGCAACGCCCACCCCTACCTCCAAACGATATTATAATCCTGTCTTCTGCGAGTTTAGATTTTCTACCAACTTCAAAAAGGTACCTCCTGTACTCAATTAGACTGTATGTTTTTTGTGTGTTACCTCATAACTTTTTTCTAAGTGAACTGATTTCGATGATTCTTTTTTAAATTTGCAATCTGGTGCTTCTCATGTATATTTGATTAAGGTCTGACCAATAGTTTTTGAGTTATCCTTAATAATTTATATTGAAGTCGTTTGTACAAAATTTTTTAATTTTACCACTTGTTATCTAAATGTTTTAACTAACTCTTATAGCTGACTTTTCTAACTTAACTTGAGTTTTCAGAGTCGGCAACAAATGCTATGTTGTGCCTTGCTCGTGGGTTCGTGTAGTGACGAGGAGGCAACAGTCAGGGCAGCTGCAGTCCGAGCCCTGGCTATGGCTGTTATGTTTCGCACTTTAAGAGAAGTGAGTATGATTTTTTAGGGCGACACATTTTTATATATTTATTTTAAAAATATTTTGGAAACGGATCACACTTCAATCCTAGAGGTTATTATCAAAAATTAAAGGTTTTAATAAAAGTGTGTTTTTATAACGACACCAATAACGTTGGAAAAATTACTTTGAACTTGGATTGAATTATCAGTCTAATGTAAATATAAATAAAAAAATATGTAAATTAAAACGACTAACGTTAATTCCAGGACATCTGCTTTGTAAGCGACTGCTGTGAAAATATACTGCGTGCTTTAGCAGAACCTACCTTGGTTGTTCGTATAAAGGCCGCATGGGCGCTGGGCAACTTGAGCGATGCGTTGGTTCTAAATTTGTGAGTGTTATTATTAATAAATATTATATATTAATAAATATTAAGCCAGTATCAGTACCAGTTCATTGTTATATTTATTATATCACGTATGCGCAATAGTGCACAACATGTATACAAAAACTTTGCGTATGAAACGCAGACATCCCACACGTCATTTCCAAATAATATAAGCACATACTGATCTTCATGATAACATGTGCAAATGTAACTCGTATGCAATCAGGTTAACGATGCACCTAGAAAATGATCTTATAAGTGCACTTGGCTTATTTTAAATCGGTTATTTTTAATCATAGATTACCCCCTAATAGATTCCGCATACAGGGCCACAAACGCGCGCAACACATACTTGCTGTAGCTAGCATACGAAGCGAAGCTAAGAATCACGACATCAGGATCGACCAAGTTTGTGATCCGTAGGCACGTCCGAATTCTTGACAATTTAAAAATAGTTTTGTATCCAAAATACATTACAAATGGCTTCCTGTGCAGTAAAATGGTGTGACAAATCAGCTAAGACATCCAGTTATCAAAAAGATGGCATAAATTTTAATTGGTAAGTAAATTCTATTCTTATCACGTTAACCTATTTCAAATGCACCGGAGATCAACTTATACTGGTATATTAATGGTGCAATGTGATAACATTTAAGCACCCGTTGATGTCTTTTTGAAATGTCCCTTTCACTCGTTACGTAAATTACAATAGTTGTCTTTGTCTAACAACAGCACGTGTATCGATAGTGTTGTGATTTTTAAGTCGATATTTGTTTGGTCATCGTTTAATTATTTTTTTCGAAGTCATATTATAAGATTAGTACTAACGTAGATTACACAATAATATCATTAAGTGGTTGAGTGAAACATGATATTCTTATATTTAGGTAAATGTTACACGTCGAAATCAAGCTATTTTGAACGGATTTATAAATCATAAAACTTGTAAAAGTTATAATGTGATTATTGTTTTGACTTGGTATTTAGTGTTACATGAACTTCAGTATTATCTTATTATAATTATTAAGTACATCTAAATTTGGAAGACGTGCCGTATGGTGTATTAATTAATAATACTATATCGGTAATGTTTTAAAAGAAACGAATATGTATTTCTGATTTAGATTACTGGTTCACCGCTGAAAGACGTGAAAAACCCGCCAACACCTAAAAATCAGAGTCATTGCTTAGAAACGCCTACAAAACAAAAAAGAAAATTTTCTCTTATACCTGATACGCCATCTGCATTTGATACTCCAGTTAAAAACGTCTTTGTAGAAGAATCATCGAATAAACCAACGTAATGAACAAAAAAGATAAAAAAGTTAAAAAGTTAAGTGATTCCAACAGAAGACTAAAAACACAAATAGTTTCTTTGAAGTCATTATTGGTATAATTAGAAAACAAAAATTCATTAGCAGTGGAAAACAATGACGCATTAAGTTCCTTAGAAAAATCAAAATCTAGAAAATCAGGCAAAATTGTTAGAAAAAATTATTCACCACAATTGAGAGCACTCACCATAAATTACTCAGCTAGGCTTATAATTATGTACGCAAAACATTTAATACTTCTTTACCTTCTGTAAAAACACTAGGAAAGTTTGTAGTTTTAACACAATCAATTAAGCTTAATTATAAATAATAATAATAATAAAATTATATATATATATATATATATATATATATATATATATATATATATATATATATATATATATATATATAATAAAAATAATAAATATAAATAAATAAGAATAATTAAACAAATAAATAAGCATAACAAAACCGCTTATTTATTTGTTTGAGTTGTTATTGTATGAGGATATTTTTCATGAAATAAAAAAATCACCAATTCGATCACGAAAGTTGTAATCATGTCATTGATTTACCTAAGAGTGTTATGGAAAAATACATAGACATACTCGTAAGATTACTCTATTCATCCAGGAAGACAGATCCTAAGAATTCTGTGAGACAATTTTATACTAAGATTATCCATTTTAAATATCAGTCAGATATATATTTATAAATTAAATGTACAAATATATGTATACAATGTTTAATTTTTTAATAAACATCAAATAAAAATTGATCAATATATTTATTTATCATTATCAATAATCAATAAATCCCAAATTTATCGATCAACGTCCCAACCCTGTTCCATCACTATGTTTTGATACATTCTAAGTTTGACCTTTAAATATCCAATCACAACGCATTTGCCACGTCCCCCGCAACCCTTGCATAGGGCCAAATTTGGTGAACTCGAAACAGAACAAATATTCAATGATGCGGTATCTATTAGGGGGTAATCTGTGTTTTTAATTTATAGGTATACTAGCTGACCAGGCAGACGTTGTTCTGCCTCCGACGAGCCTGTGTCCTATAAAAATTCTTAAATTCGTAATAAAAAAATATTGAGGATCACTTATAGGGATAAAAACTATCCTATCTCTTAAGTTGGACCAAACTGCACACAATGTACAAAATTTCATTGCAATCAGTTTAGTAGTTTAGGAGTTCATCGCAGACAAACAATGTGATACGTAATTTTTATATATAAAGATTATAATAATATGTCGCATTAGCGACGGGCGTGTCTGAAATGTTTAAGTCGATTTTTTGGATTATGAAAACATCTTTGTGATAATGGTCCTCGATGATTTTCTCTTGCAGTCGATATAGCGACGGTCACGAATGCAACAAGAACGGCTCCGTGGCTCAGTGGCTTAGCAATCAGTTGTTGTGCTGGGGGCCGTGGGTTCGAATCCCGCACGGAACAAGTATTTGTATGGCCTACAAATAATTGTTCCGGGTCTGGATGTTTGTCCTTGTGCAATTTATGTTTGTAAACTGCCTCCACGACACAGGAGAAAATCCTAGATTGGGGGTAACGTTTAAAAAAAAAAACCATCTCGAACTATCGTCGCGAGTAAATGGACCGATGGGTGACTCCGAGATTCCGAGATCCGAGAAAATTTTGCAGTCACTGCCACCGAACGTTAATACGATTATTTAGAGATATGTTAGACCGATTTTGTCATCGACTTTCTTGTATATACCGCTATATCTGAGACCCTGAAAGTTTTAAGTGCAACAATAATACTGAAACTTTATCCAGGCATCCTTAATAATGTAACATAATCCAAATCTCGTACTTAAATCTGCATGATTAAATGCTTATATACGGAAAACACGACACGCGGACGCCTAACTCACACGACTCGAAAACATCTCTTCGATGTAAAAGAACGTAGCGGCGAGTCAGACGACTCGAAAAATACAAAAAAGATTTCGATTGTTAAGTATTGTACTCGATTGTATTTTGAACCAATAACAAATATCGCATTTTCGATTGTTTATGCATCTGGGATTCGTCCATCGCTATTTCGCATAACGCATACATTGTCAAAAGAAATATAATAAATATTTTTATATGCTATACCCAATTATATAAAAACTAGCCGATACCCGCGACTTCGTCCGCGATTCTTGATATGTCAAGAAAACTCATATCACTGAACACGTAGTGTTTATAAAAATCTTTGTTTCTTAATACTTTAATAACTTTATATTAAATGAAGATATCGTAATATTTTTTTTAATTAAGGACCAAGTGTAAAAAACTTATATAACTTAGAAAACCTAATTGAAATCTATCCAATAGTATTTCCGTGATGTGCGCACAACTGCAAATCTCTATCATTTTATTTAATAAAGATTATATGGAAATAATAGAGTACATATGTACACGATGTAGATCTCAGTTCAAAGATAAAAATAGGGATATATTTTTATGTGTACTTAACAGGAGATGCGAATTGTTTTCAACTTTATATACCATACGGGTTTAATAACATAGGTAAAAAATATTTGGGAGGTTTCATTTACCACTCTCTGAAATTAAACTTAGTTTTTGAACTATCATCAAAGTAGCCAACAATGTGGAGCGTAAACATTACGTAATCGTTAATATTTTAAAAATTAATATTAGGTTTATGTTCGCATTTTAAGTGAGAGCCGTGGTAGCTCAGGGACTAAGCTCTCGCCTAGCAACCCGTGTTCGATCCACTGGCACTAATGAAATTGTTAATTGCGACTTTAAGTTCTGATTTACCATCTGCTCAGCGGTGAAGGAAAACATCGTGAGGAAGACATGTGAAGTTTACCAACACGCATTGGGGCAGCGCCGCGGACACTTTCTTGCCCTAAATCCCTTTGAGAAGTGAAAGGAGACCTGTGCCCAAGCAGTGGAACGTATATAGGCTGTAACTTTAATTTAACGTTATTTTCGTTTCCATACCATCTATTATGTAATTTTGTTGAGATTATGAGTACGCGCGCCCGCGAATGTTACTTCAGCGGGGCTTCCTATATAAATTTGGACAAAATAATTCCACTCTAATCCATTATGTGATAATATTTTATTTTTTTATTTCCTTATCTTTATCTTAATAAAAAGTAAAAGCAGACTTCAAAGAACTGAAAGACTAAGCTTAATTTTTTGCAAAATACAAAAGGCTGTGGCTGCATTTCGGTGTGCACCCATTATCAAATTAACATTTTGACGATTAATTGTATGTTCAATTGCTTTTGTTTAAAATAAACTAAAAAATTGATTTGATCGTAAACTTATGTATTAATTATACAATTACGCAGCGAACAAAATTACTTTGGAGTTGATATAATTACTCGTTATCAAGTTTGTAAGACAAAAGTTTCGCTAATGTACGAACGTACATCCACACAGATGTCTTTTTAGAAATAATGTAATGAGTTTCTGCACAAAACGCAGAGATATTTGTTGGTATTTGGACTTTTAATATCTGAAGTCTGAAACTCCGAATGGGAAGATAATTAATATATCATTTATGTTTATTTATGTTTTAATCTTGTGTCATTTCAATAGGGAGGAGCCAGAGTTGGATGACATTGGCGATGACCTGCTCGTACGTCTGCTCGAGGCCAGCATAAAATGCGCTAACGACAATGATAAGGTAAAATGCCTTTAATTATGGTTAATTTTTATTGGATCATTAATCCCATTATGACATTTGTAATATTTATGCTTATTACAAAACTATCACAATAGGTTGAAGATAAGTTTTATTTAAGTTCAGTGTTGCGCGTAATTTGACACGCGATTTGAATTTGTTCGAAAAATGTAAAGGTTAATGCTTTTTGTACTATTAGTTATATTTTATATTAATTAGATTATAGATAAATAAAACAAACTACAGATATTAATTAAGTATAAAAAAAGAGTTAAATAGTGAACCACTGTGGCATTGTTATGTTAAACTTTTATTTAAAACCAACTCCTCAATTAAATGACATTGTGTAACAAAAAATTTCCAATTGTGGCAACCATAGTAAATATTCTCCCTATAAACCAATCTATGGTTTATAGGGAGAATATTTCAGGTGATTTTCGAGGCATTGGGGTCAAACTCGGCCAACTTCCGGACTTCGGGCTGTTACTGAGAATTTCTTGACAGAAGAGTCCAATAACCGATTTTTTTTCTTTTTTAAAAAACGTTACCCCTCACTAGAATTTTTTCCTGTGTCGTGCAGGCAGTTTACAAACATAAATTGCACGATTTGCATACTTGTTCCGTGCGGGATTGGAACCCGCGGCCTCCAGCGCAACAACTCATTGCTAAGCCACTGCACCGCGGAGCCGTCACATGATCAGCAGTTGCGCTTACGACTACTAGATCAACGAGTCATAGCGGTGCTAGAAAGTATTCAAATTGACGGCACTTCAAAATAATTAAATTAAACACACAAAAATTGGATCAAAGTCATTTAGTGTGCACTATTCAAACAAATAATGTAAATTAAGAAGTCCGTTGTTAACATGGTAATTTAATTTTTATATTTCAGGTGAAAATGAGTGCAACACGTGCTCTGGGTAATTTGATACGTCTTATAAATAAGGAAAATTTGATCAATAAACCGCAAATTAGGACTTTATGTGAAACGGCAATAGAAAAGCTTTTGGAATGCGCTTGCAAAGTGACTAATATGAAAGTACGTTGGAACGCATGTTATGCTCTTGGCAACGCTATGAAGAATGAGCATTTGTTTACTTCTTTCAATGGATGGCAGGTGAGAATATGTTGTGTAATACAATAAAATAATGGTTTACCTATATGTCAATAACCCATCGGACAGTGACTTATGTTATTATTAATTTATAATAACACAGGCAGTTCGTTTATTCTCGACGTCCATACTCTATTAGTACTGATTAAAACACAATAACACTTTTAAAATATTATTATTTAAAAGTACATTAATAATAGAATTAGACAAACAATTAGTAAGAAAGTAAAAATTTATACCTAAGAAGAACATTTTTAATTTTTTTTCACTTTCGCTTATTTCTGCCGCCGAGCGGTTGTGCACTCATTGCTGTGATCCGGTTTTTAGTGTAAAGTAGGCAGTAAATTGATAAATGCTGTTAGGAATTGGAACTTACCCCTTTTTTTATCTCAAGCTTTTCTTTTATAGAATAAGTGTAACAAACGAGCACACAGTCCACCTGATGGTAAGTGGTTGCTGTGACCCATAGACATCTACATTTATCCTCAATAAAGAATCAAAATGCAGATGCATCGTTACCCGTGAGGACTAAGATGGAATGCCTCTTTTCCAGTAAAAAAGTTTCTCCGGTTCTCTACACTCACCATACGAAACACAGCAGTGTCAAGCTGCCATTTTTTGAGAGCGTGGTCCTTCCCCGGTCGAGCCGACCCATTCGTGCTACATCTATACTACTAATATAGCTGCAGCATGGCTCTACCACGTACAAAAAGTACAAAAAGTAGGTTGATGATACCCATATATCTATACTACTAGTATAGCTGCAGCATGGCTCTACCACCTACAAAAAGTACAAAAAGTAGGTTGATGTTACACACACATGCTACGCCTATATGTAACTCCTAAAACCCTTTCCTAGTCAAAACTACTTTTGACCGACGAAAATAGTCAAAAGTCTTTTTGTTTAAAGAGTTGGACATAAGTAGTTTAGACTAATAAAATATTGGTTGAAAATGTCTGTTAAAAGTAGTTTTAACTGAGACTGGTATATAAAATTAAACCAAGAGTATTTACTAAAAGTGTGTGATTTGTAGTAAGAAATTCAGAGGCGGATTCTCAAATTGTTTATGAGTATAGGTTCACTTTGTTCCGTGGGTGTAGTGAGAAGCGACTGTAGGAAATGCCAGAAAATTTTTTTGGCTTCCGATAGATTACTAAAACAACCTCGTTTGACATAAAGCACCCAGACCGGCCACCGGAACAGCGTCAATGGTGCGAATCCGTCTACCAGGATGGAAACTTAACTCACAATCGAACTCTGACTGACGCTAAGTGGCTTTTTTTATTTTTTTTTTATAGGATAAGGGTGACAAACGAGCACACAGTCCACCTGATGGTAAGTGGTCGCTGTGGCCCATAGACATCTACATCTATCTTCGATTAAGAGTCAAAATGCAGATGCGTTGTCACCCGTGAGGACTAAGATGGAATGCCTCGTTTCCAGTAAAAAGGGTCTCCGGTTCTCTACACTCACCATACGAAACACAGCAGCGTTAAGCTGCTATTTTACGCTGGTATTCTGTGAGAGCGTGGTCCTTCCCCGGTCGAGCCGACCCATTCGTGCTACAACCATAATATAGATGCAGCATGGCTCTACCACGTATAAACTGCTACTGCAGTTCATGGCACTTGCAGCCAATTTCAAACAATGAATCCAATATTCGCTTATATTTTTTAGTAAGTTAAGTACAAATATTGAAAAAGAAACTCTGTAAAGAACCTAGATAATCATTATCCAAATACGAATTATGCGAATAATATCACAAATTATGCAAATAAGTTTGCATTCGAAACGATTTTGGTATTACGTTTGTATGTGTAAATTAACCTCTGCCGCGCTCTTAAGTATTCAGACTATAACAGAAGTGCAAACACTGCTACTTTTTCGACAGAAGTAGGTAAGAGAGTGATACATACTCAGACCGACTCCTAGGCAGAAAGAGTCCCTAGTGGCGACTTTGGCAAATGCTGATATAATAATAAAGGCCCATGTCTCAATGTTTCTCTCTTTGTTTTCTCGTGTTAATAAAAGGCAACTAAGGCTTAATGCTTGACGCCATTTTGCCCCAGTAAAATTGTAGCACGGTGAAATGTTGTGGCAAAAATAAATACAATATGTATGTATATCATCATCATCATCATCATTACAGCCCTTCACAAGTCCACTGCTGAACATAGGCCTCCCCCAAAGAATGCCACAAAGCACGGTCCTGAGCCACCTGCATCCATCGACTTCCTGCACATCTTACCAGGTCGTCACTCCATCTAGTGGGGGGACGCCCTACACTTCGCCTGCCGGTACGAGGCTGCCACTCGAGAACCTTTCTTCCCCATCGGTTGTCGGTTCTTCGAGCTATATGGCCGGCCCATTGCCACTTCAGCTTACTAATCCGTTGGGCTATGTCGGTCACTCTGGTTCTACTGCGGATATCCTCATTTCTGAGTTTATCACGCAGAGAAACTCCGAGCATAGCCCTCTCCATAGCTCGCTGAGCGACCTTGAGCTTCCTCATCCGGCCAGCAGTGAAGGACCACGTCTCAGTTCCGTATGTCATCACTGGCAACACGCACTGGGTGTATAGTCTCGTTTTCAAGTTTTGAGGTATACCTGACGAGAAGATGTGCCGAAATTTCCCGAACGCTGCCCAACCGAGTTGAATCCGTCGATTGACCTCTCGGTCGAAGTTGGACTTACCTAGTCGGACTATTTGTCCCAGGTAAACATACTCGTCAACAACTTCGAGCTTAGTGTTCCCAACAACTACCGGCATAGGTGTGACATGGACATTAAACATGATCTTTGTTTTGTCCATGTTCATCTTAAGACCTATCCGTTGGGAAACACTATTGAGGTCATTGAGCATAGTGCTTAGGTCCTCCAGCGATTCTGCCATAAGGACTATATCGTCGGCAAATCGAAGGTGAGTGATGTACTCGCCATTGATGTAGATACCGTATCCTTTCCAGTCCAGAAGCTTGAAAACGTCTTCCAACGCAGCGGTGAAGAGTTTCGGGGATATGACGTCACCCTGTCTTACACCTCTCTGCAATTGGATAGGTTTCGTACTCTGGTTCTGTACTCGGATAGCCATCGTAGCCCTACTGTACAAGCACTTCAACACTTCGATATACCGACAGTCAACTTGGCATCGCTGAAGGGACTGCAGCACCGCCCAAATTTCGACGGAATCAAAGGCTTTCTCATAGTCCACATACGCCAGACATAGTGGCAAATTGTACTCCTCGGACTTCTGTACAATTTGCCGAAGGGTATGTATGTGGTCTATGGTGCTAAAGCCTTTTCGGAAACCGGCTTGTTCGGGAGGCTGGAAGTCGTCAAGTCTGCGCGCGAGACGATTCGTAATGACTCTCGAAAACAGCACGTAGACGCGGCTCAGAAGGGAAATCGGTCTGTAGTTCTTCAAGAGAGCGTTGTCGCCTTTCTTGAAGAACAAGACCACCGCACTTCTGCTCCACGCCTCCGGTGTAATGCCACCATGGAGGACGGAATTAAAGAGCTTCTGAAGGACTTCAAGTACCGGTTTTCCACCCGCTTTCAGAAGCTCCGCTGTTATTCCATCCTGGCCTGGGGCCTTGCCGTTTTTAAGGTGCTGGAGAGCCATTCTAATCTCGCTCAGACTGACGTCCGGGATATCATCGGAATAATGTCGGATAAGACTCGCTCTTGGATCGTTACTCACACTTGCGTGTGGCTCCAACGATGACGTGTACAGCTGCCCATAGAACCTCTCAATCTCACTCAAAATCTCAGGTGCCCCGGAAACGATGCTGCCACATTCGGTCTTCAGCTTTGACAGTTGGCTCTTTCTGGCAGACAGATCTCTGGCAAAGACTTTGGAGCCTTGGTTCCGCTCGATCGCTTCTTCAATACGAGCTGTATTAAAGTTGCGTAAGTCCCGCCGCATGCATTTGGAGATCTGTCTGTTCAGTTGCCTGTATGCTGTCAAATCTGTTGAAGAATGTAGCTTCATCTCCCGTCTAACAGCCATGAGATTAAGAGTGTGATCGGAGAGTTTTTGTGTTCTTCTGCGGCGGGTCTTGCAGAACTTAGCTCCGACCGCATGGACAGTTTCCACGAGCTTGTCATTCAAATCGTCCACTTCATTGCAGTCTTCTAGGCACTGAAAACGGTTTTGCAACTCGAGCTGAAAGGTTTCGGGACTTTGGATTAGAGCACGAGGGGGACGGAGCGTTGACTTCATTAGACGAGACCTCTCCAACTTAACGTTTAGGTTCAGTGTGCCTCTAACCATTCGGTGATCGCTGCCGGTTTTCACCCTCGCGATCACTGAGACATCACTGAACAGTTGTCGTCTGGTCGTCATAATGAAGTCAATCTCATTTTTTGTCGAACCGTCGGGGCTCAACCAGGTCCACTTCCTGTGGGGCCGCTTCTGGAAGAAAGAGTTCATCATAAAGAGTCCCTCTTTCTCCATGAAGTCGGCCAACTGCTGGCCCCTTGGGTTCCGTTGCCCTATTCCAAATTTCCCCACTTTCAGCTCACCGTTCTCTCTTGTGCCTAGTTTTGCATTGAAGTCTCCCATTAACACCGTATATTGGGTTTTGGAGGAATGCATGGCTCTAGAGATATCCTCATACATTTCCTCCACCTCCTGATCGGGGTGTGCCGAGGTTGGTGCGTAAACCTGTATGACCTTCAGCGAATACCGTTTGGTGATTCTGAGTATAAGGTACGCAACCCTCGTCGACATACTCTCAATCTTTACAACGTTGTTAACGAGAGACTTGTGGACGATAAATCCGACACCTCCTTGGGACTGATGGTCGCCCTCCCGGTAATAGAGCAAGTTGCCGGATTCGAGGATTACCGTGTCCTCCCCCTCTCTTCGGACTTCGGATAATCCTATAATATGCCAGCGTAACTTGTCTATCTCTTCTTCCAGCTCCACAATCTTCTCGTCAGTCCTCAGGGTGCGTGCGTTGTATGTTGCCAGGTCGAGTCGTTGTAGGTGGCAACCGAACCTCCACCGGAGATTCTTAGCACCCCCTGCCCCGCCGTTACCATGGTCGCCACCGTAGCCAGGAATAGCGGGGCCGCCGGGGACTGGGGGCCGTCTCTTCGTAACTTTCATTATGGGGGGTATATTGCCATAGTTGCCACGCTTGGCGAGCGGGTTGGCAACCGCAGTTTTTTATTGTATTTTTGCCGTTACCAGGAAGATGCTGCTGCCCATCTCCTGCCTGTTTCCCTTTGTCGCCTTTTACGACACCCACGGGAAGATATGGGGTAGTGGATATTCTTAACCGCCACTACACGGCATGTAACATGTATGTATATAGATAAATAAAACTTATTTGGAAATCTTTTAGAGTCAAGTATTTCCGAGTCTGTGCACGCTAGTGCGCGAATGCAAGAATCTCAAAGTGCGTATAAACGCGGCGGTCGCGTTACGCGCGTGCCGTGCGCGCGCGCAGGTGGGCGCGCTGCTGCCGCTGCTGTGCCGCGAGCTGCTCGCCGCCATGGACAGCGCCGCGCACCTGGACGACTTCACCGAGTACAGGCACAAGGACAACCTGATCGAACAGGTGACATCGTAGCTTTTGTTTCAGATAGTTTTTGTATTGTCTAGTCTTCAGTAAGTGGGGCTTCTCAGGGAAAGCCTTCTGCTGGGAGAATTACCTCACGGACAGTCAGCAGGGCTAGCATGGGCAGGAGACAATTTTATCCCCGGGGAAAGGAGAAAATGTTAATCCCCTCGTTTAGTTTTATCCACTGTTTGAGCATGGGCACACTGGTGGATATAATATCCGCAGTAGATAAAATGGGAGATAGACTTAGACTTAAATAGATTTTTTGTATGAATATAAACATAAACCCACGTCCAATGAACTAGGATAAAATTCTCCCTTTCAAATGTCAAAAAAGCATAATGTTTTATCTTTCATTTGGTTCCATGCTACGGACGGGGGATATATGTCTACTCGTTAGTTCAAATGGGAATATACATCACACCGTTGCCGTGCTTTGGCATAAGGACAAGATAATTTTATCTTTTGTCAATGGATATAATCGGGGGATACATTTTTTGTCCCCAGCCCATGCTAGCCATGCTGGGATATGCATATCTTAATCACAGTGACACTCGATGGAAAATCAACCGAGAATGACTGAAAAATAAAATTAACAATTGCTAATAGAATCTTGCTAAAAGATTTTGAGCTAAGATTTTCTTTTTTATCTGCTTAAGTTTTAGTCCACAAGGAGGGCGATGTTTTGGCCGGTATGCTCTCTATATCCATTTGTTTGACAAACACCCAGACCAATTATTTAAATGTTATGCCAGTACTTGTGCGGTAATTGAACCTTTAGCCCGCACTACTCTAATCAAACATTTATTACCTGATACGCTATTGAACTGCTTTTATTGTATCATATACATATACATAATGTGTTTTTTTATCTCTGTCGCCTTGCCTCGTTGAGATTCCTTCAGCATAATTTCTATGTACTTCGTCCATAATATATACATTGTTCCATCACAACTTTTCCTACTTCTTATCTTGATAGGTCTTTTGGGATGTCTTCATTAAATTCGAATTCCTTTTTTTTCCTTTTTATAGAATATGGGTGACTAACTAGCACAAAATCCACTTGATGGTAGGTAGGTGGTTCTTCAGACATCTACATCTATTCTTGATTATTATGTTGCCACCACTGAGGACCAAGATAGAATGCCTCGTTTCCGGTAAAACGGGTCTCCGGTTCTCTACACTCACCATATTAAAAAGCAGCATTAAGCTGTTATTTTACGTTGATAATCTGTGAGAGCATGGTCCATACTCGGTCGAACCGATGAATTCGCGCTACAACCATAATTAAACTGCAGCATGGCTCTACCACGTATAAAACTTAATAAATTACGTAAAATTTAATTTGAAGGTCCAAGTAATTGTCCTTAGTTGCCTTTGCCGTGTGGGTGGCGTAAGAGAATATATCCATCAATAGCTGCCAACCTTGGCAGGCGCGTTGGCAACCGCAGTTATTTTATTTTCTAGTTATTAGGAAGACGCTGGTGCTATATGTAAGATTCACTCAATCTGAGATACTACATCGCATTTAATTCTAATATACTACAAGACTTGCTTACATTTGACAACTTGATTAGTAAATGTTATTGACATAATATACGAGGGTGACACTGAAAGTTCTTAGAAAATCAAAAACTGAACAAACTAGCAAGTTATGCATCTGCATCCGATGGAACCACTGAGAAAAGCACTTTGCCCACTCGTCCTTAGGGGTCTCTTCGACGGTATTTTGAAATGCAGCCACTGCGTCCTCGGCGTCCATAAAACGTTTTCCTCGAAGTTTTTCTTTTATTTTCGGAAATAAATAAAAATCTCAAGGTGCGAGGTCGGGGCTATAGGGCGGGTGACTCAGGAATTCCACGTCTGACGTCGCCAAGTAGTCGATTGTTTGCTTGGCGGTGTGTGACGAGGCGATTTCGTGGTGAAGGAGGATCCTACTGCGAGGTCGTTTCTCCCGAACTTTTTCCAAGACAAGTGGCAAACAATTGTTAGTGTACCACTCTGCAGTAACTGTTTTTCGATCCTCTAAAACAATTGTTGCGTAATGACCTGTCCTTCCGAAGAACGAGGCCACCATCATTTTTCCCTCGCTTCGACCTCTCTTCACTTTAGTTGGCAACTCCTCGGAAGTAAACACCCAGACACCAGACTGCCTCTTAGTTTCAGGATCATAACAATAAATCCAGCTTTCGTCACCCGTAAGTATGTCGAACACAGCATTTGAGTCACCTCCGTTAAATCTTTAAACCATATCACGACACCAATTAACACGACGGAGTTTTTGGGCCTCTGTCAAACTATGAGGTATCCACCGGGCACAAAGCTTCCTGACCGCTAAATGTTCATGGAGGATTTTGTGCACTTGACTCATACCGATGCCTAAAGCTTGTCCGAATCTGCTGATAAGTCACTCTTTTGTCAGTCTCTATCATACGCTGCACAACACTGATGTTATCTTCAGTCGTCGTCGTAGAAGGCCGCCCCTCAAGCAGATCATCGGTGAGATTAGTGCGACCATGTTTAAACTCATTAAACCAGCTGTAAACAGTGGCACGAGATGATTTTTATGACATCGAAAGTCATAAAAATCATTGTACAAAAATTTTCTCGCGTTTAATTCACGTGACACAGATACTTTTCAATTTGCCTCCAAATCGTAAACAAATGACAAATTAATAAAATACATACACAATAATATTGGCAAAGAGTTCCATTTTCATAATTTGAACTTATTTTTTTATTATATCGTTCACAAGTGGCCAGTTCTAAAAACTTTCAGTGTCGTCCTCGTATAACTTGATCTCCTGACCGACAGCGGAATAACTTTCTGAAATACGTCTGAATATAAATAATATCACACCACCTGCTAAGCGCTCACCACTTAGTTTGGTAGGTCTTACCTATAAACAGTCGTATACACAATGTATTCTCTAGGAAACTCATTCATTTTTTTATTATTAACGCTTTTATTTCTATATTGTTTCAGCTCTGTGTTACCTTCGCCCACATTTGCTGCCTACTAAAACCTTCTGATCTAACCGACATACTGGACCCACTTGTGTTTCATGGCGACTGCGCCAAGTCGCTTTTCACGCAAGTCTACCTCAAATTGCCACCTGAAAATGCATCGTGCCTCAAAATACTGCAAGCTGCTAAATTCGTCACTATGGATTTGGTAGCAGAAAACGACACCCAGGCCCCAGCCCTCGGAATGCTTCAGGAAATATTTATTTTAGATTTCTGATAATTTGCTTTGTTATCAAATGATACTTATTTCGAACGAAGTAAAGTTTACATTCGGATATATAATCCGGCCAATGTTTTAACTGTAAAAAATTAAGGTTATCAAAACGTAGCGATAATAGTTTGAAATCTCATGAATTTGTGATCGAGTGGAATATTTCAATTGACATTATTGCCTAAAAATAAACGCGTTTATTAAATTTGACGCTGCTAGGGGTCCAGGTCATATGTGAAGTAAACTATTGTTTGTATTTGTTTGTATTGACGTATGTATTTATTGTGTTTTTCTCACTAACATTAATTTACACATTGATTTACAGCACATTGTTGAACATAATTAGATTTGTCTCCTGCAAAGATTGACTCATAGAGACAATTTTGTGATAGTTGGCACGCTTGGCAGGCCAGTTGGCTACCGCAGTTTTTTCATAATTTTGAGTTGTCATCAGGAAGATGCTGCTGCCCATCTCCTGTTTTCAGTTTCCCTCTGTCGCCTCTAATTACAACCACGGGACGATATAGGGAGCTGGATGTTCTTATACCACCACTACACGGTTTCACATTAATTTACACTTTTTAATTATACCGTATGTACTGTACCTCTCTAGTATAACCTTACCGTAAATGTTATATGAACATATAAATAGATATTAACATAGCTATACGACCTTCATATAATCTTTTCTTCATCAAATCGTAAAGATCTACCAGTGGACGGACCTCTTCCTTTGTAGGAAGGATGCTATTAATCTCAAAATATAAATTTCCATCCTATTATGTATGAAAGTAAAATTTATACATTGTATTACATATAGGAGCAGCGTGATGAATGCGTGTGAAATGCGTGACCATTTTAGAAGCTATTTTACTAACTTAGTTCTCAATTCGAATGTATGTTCTTTTTTTATATTAAAGTTACGCAATACTTTCGCCAGTAATTGTAAAGGAATTTTAATGATTATTTTTTTAATCAAATAGGTTCAGATGTGGTCCCTTATGAATTTGGATAAAAGTTTTTAATGATTTATTTATATATTAACATACATTATATGTATAGATTTTGTATATTATATGTACAAGTATCCTAGTAAGTTATGTACATGTAATTCTACCTGCCACAAAAGCTCATTACTCCACGGGTTGACGGTAGGCATAAATTCTGCCCTTTGTTACCCTATTTATTAAGATGAACAATAAAAATTAAATAAATAAATGAATTAACACTACGTCCTAGTTGTTACCTCAAGCATGTGATACGAAAAATAATAAAATAATTTTCACATAAATGCTTTTGAAGTGGTGGTTTTAATTCTTCTATACAATATTAAGACATACTGATTTTAGAAGCTATTAAGTGACAATTACTTTATTTTTTTTATCTATGTAACCGAGTGAGTATAGTACTTGAAAATACTCTTTAGTTCGTTTAGAATCGAATGAAATAGTTTCCAATTGAAAATATACTGTCTTTTTATACTAAATAAGACGAAATTAGGACCGCGGTGTAGCTGCATGAATTCATACCCGAGGTACAGGAAGGGGCTTTTACTTTTTATTAAAAAACTCGATATGATAAGATCATAAATGGTTTATACAGTTTCCAACATTTTTATAGGACGGGACGATCACATTACAAAAAGACCCGACTCATCATGATTACTACAAGTACTTGTCTGCAGCCTGCAGTAAAAACGGAAAACAATATTACTAGTGCGAGAGTGTTGGCTCTACGATCACTAACCCTAGGAACCTAACGTAACTTAACCCTAAAAGCAGAACACTATTTTAATAAATGTCCAGTCGCGCAGTGCCATCCTTACCTAAAGGCCACACGGGGCACATACCAAGGGCCCCCGCCTGGCCCCGGAATGTTGAAAGGAATGCAATATTTTTTTTTTTACAAATAAAACTAATTTGTTTGTTGCTTATATAGTATACTGTTTTTTATTCATAAGCCCTAACCTTAAGTGCCTAAATGCCTAATGCAATGTCTAAGACGGCCCTATAGCTCTGGACATACATAAATGCTGAAAGAACTTAAACAAATCGTTGAATAAAACAATTTTTACGGATTTCATCGCGTTTAAGTCACTTATTTTTAGTTCCCGGCGTTTCGGGTGCTTTACAAGCATCCATGGTGTCAGGGGGCGCTGTGGTGTAGAGCGAGCTCGTTCTGGACTTTAAAATATATGAATTAAACTAAATTTGCGGCAATATATGATATATTCGCCATGAAACGCTTGTGTAATTTCACAAATGGTCGATGATGGACTTATGTTGTTGAAATTTTGATCTAGGCATTTAACAATTTTTTATATATGAAATTAATTTGGTCTTTGTATTATGGTAGAAATAGGAATAATAAGTAATAAGAGATAATTGTTTATGGAAGTACAACACTATTTATTTTTAATTATAGTAGTCCTAATCAACACTAAAAACATGTACACTTTATAGGTAACCTAACCTAATTTTATTAGGCGGATGTAGAAAACATTATCTTATAAGGATCCTATTTATTTTGCGTTAATATATTTTATTCAAAATTAGAATTGCAGTTTCATTCGTTATCTGTATGGGTACTCTTTGTTAATACTCGTTATGTATTATTGAACTATGCCCCTGACTTTATAGACAAGGTTGATAACATTTGCTTAGAAGTCATTATTTAGAGCAGTATAAAGCAGCACGGGTGGACAAAGTTTATCTTTGTACTTTCATTTGATAAATTTGTAGAAAATTCATTTGTAAATCTAATATTTTTAAAGAAAGAGAAAACGTATCTTTTAACGTAATGTCCCTTGTAAAATGCGACACCTATGAAGTCCCTTTACTGACTTCAGCAAATTAAAGGGACTATAAGGTCAAATCAGTGGTTTTTAAAATTTTTGTCTTTTTCAGAATTTATATAAAATATCCTGAATTGATACAATTTGAATTGATCTTCTGAAATTTTTAAGAACTTTGATATTATGTAGATAATGACACTGGGTAACATATTCTCATAATGGCTGGCATAACCTTATCGTAAGATAATAATGTTCTTAGGTTATTAAAATGTAAAAATATGTTATAACATAAACTCTTAAGGTAACTTATACATAAGATGTATAATCAATCATAAGAACAAACTCATCAACTTGCTCAACCTACTCCCTTTCTATTCTTATGTCACTTATCGTTTTACTTTCTTCTCTTTCAAAAATTAATTAATATGTATAATGAAAATACACATGTACATAGACGTAACTATTATTCGTTAGAGATTTTATCAATGTTATCTACTAAATGCACTGCGGTAGATATATTCTGTCTTTAACACAACCCATGGAATTAGTAATTACGATGCCGTTTACTTATTTTCAATATTTTAAGCCACAAAGACAAATTTTAGATCTTAATCTGCTTATTGTGTATCAATTAGTCTACTAAGATCTACTATTAATGTAGAAAAATATACCTACTTTTAAGGAAAACACTTCTTGACAGTTTCGCAACGAAGCTTTAATTATCGTGATTGTCTTATTATTAAGGTAGGGCCGTAGCTGTGAAAACCTGCCTCACAGCTCCTTTGTTTGAAGACAGGTGGTTTTTCCCAAAGTTTTTACTATCGATCGCCTAGTATGTCATAATTTAGCGCTTCTCTCAATATTTAAAATAAGTCTTGTCCTTACGAGCCCTAATTCCAATATAAGACATTTCTTTCTCTAGACCATCCAGGCTGTTAGCACACTACTAAAATGTAATAATGACGTAAAATAAATAAATAAATAAAATCGTCCTCCAATTCAACCCAAATATGTGAGAAAAGCCAATTACAAAGAATTTCTGATCCTGCTATCGCGAAATCGTCTGTCAACCTATATCATGCATAAATCGCATTTACGGCATAATTCGTAACTTGAGAACGGCTTATTAGTACTTTCCTTTAGTAATATAAATAATAATCGATACTGTGAAAGCAGATATAAAGTAATCGAATGTATAAGAAATAAAAAACAATAAAACTCTTGGTTGAAGTTGGACTTACCTAATAGGATATATAGGTACAAATGCTCGTCGACTTCGAGCGCAATTCTAGTAATTACCGGTATAGGACGTTAGACATGTTTTTTCTGTGGTCTATATTCATCTAAAGATCAACCCGTTGGGAGACACTATTGAATTCGTTGAGCATAATGCTAAGATCCTCGAATAATTCTGCCATAATAACTATATCGTCGGCAAATCGAAGGTGAGTGATGTTTTCGCTATTAAAGCTAAAACTGTATCTTTTCCAGTCAAGTAACTTGAAAGTCTTTTTTTATAGGATAAGGATGACAAACGAGCACACAGTCCACCTGATGGTAAGTGGTTGCTGCGGTCCATATACATCCACATCTATCCTCGATTGGAAAGCAAAATGCAGGTGCGATGTCACCCGTGAGGATTAAGATGGAATGCCTCGTTTCCAGTAAAATGGGTCTCCGGTTCTCTACGCTCACCATACGAAACAGCAGCCTGGAGCCGATATTTTTACGCTTGCATTCTGTGAGAGCGTGGTCCTTCTCCGGTCGAGCCGACCCATTCGTGCTACAGCTATATTACTAAGCTTGGTTCTATTACGTTCTGATAGCTAGATCATTAGGCTGAAGTGGCTAGGAGCCGGCAGTATTTCCTGAAGTATTTCCTGAAGAAGAAAGAAGAAAGTTCTTGAGTGACAGATTAGTAGCGCGGATGTAGGGTAACCGACCTAAAATAAATATACGAGTACCTTCGTAATGAGAGTAGTCTACAAAATGACAAGCATTTTTAAAAGAAAAAGATAAAAGATGTTTGGAATTAAAATCTATGGAAAAGTATGCGAATAGGAAAATCGACGAGTGTAAACATGGTTACTGCGATTTTGTAATTATTGTGCAATCCATTGATTAACCACCGGCAACTATAAATACTTACACTTTAAACTATAAACATTGTTATAGTAAATAGGGTGACAAACGAGCACGCAATACGCTGTTA